AGAGAGAGAGAGAGAGGTTTTAGACCGTATATTATTATTTGCAGGGGCCCAAAAAGATTGTCTTGTCTCAGCTCCATGGGGGTAGCTTTTATGGGTACAGTCATCTGCTTGGCTGCGGTCAGTTTCATACGCCATCTGGGCGTATGGCTGCCAAACACCCAGATGATGTAACGTAATCTAGGCTTTTAAGCTGAGGCCTACAGCTGAATATACAATAATAGAGGCACAACCGAACTCCTGTTAGAACATGAGTTTCAATTTTAGAACTTGAGTATTCAGCGGTGGCCTGTATACAATCTTGATATCTGACTTAGAACTAAGACCACTGTAACCTCTGCAGTTACCCAGAAACTGCCTGTAACAAGGAAGGTAATGATTGTTTAATGGACACGGCTGATCGCCATGGCACCCGACGCGTCGAAGCGCAGTAGAGAAGGTAGGAGAAAAGGAACAAATCGACATGTTCGTAGCCTGCATGTTCGTAGCCTGGCTCTGAGCCGAGACTGACATCACGCCGATGGCCCGCCTTCGGGGAACCCAGTCCATGGAAGGGAAGGCAATTTGGTCGGTCATTCGAACAAAGAATTGTCGTCCAGTGTCACACGGATATCCGGATTGTCATTTCCGGTGCCTGGTAGCTTCTCGGGATGCTGTTCGAAGAACTCGGCCTGCTCAGACTCCAGCCACAGCTTTTCTTGGGGAATACCCTCGACTTCCCTGAACACTCTTTCGATCGAGTTGAAACGCTGCTTACAGCGACGGAGCTCCGTGGCAAAAACTTTCTCATCTTGGCCGTTCAAGCCATGTGGCAGCCAGAATCCAAACAGGTTATTCCCCGGATCGACACTTCCGTCTGCACGTAAAATACCCTCCCGCTCTCGCGGATTTTGCGAGATTGTCGCATTGGGATATTCCTCCGCAATTGACTTACACTCGCCGAAAAAGCCACTGACGTCAAATCGTCTCCAAGAGCTTATCCAGTTCAGCGCCACTTCGGACAATCATCGTCGCAAGCCCGGCAAGGTTAGACATATATATGTGAAAATGGAAACATATAAGTTGTAAGCTTACCACTCAACGTCAGCGTTCCAGGATGTAGTTTGCAGCGGGAGTTTGTTTTGGCAAGCAAGATCAATGTCAGCATCAAGGACTGAGAAGCAATTCAGCAGTCTTGCAACGACATTGGTATTTGGCGTTCTTGCCAATAAATCCACTGGAACGGTGAGGCACTGTGGATGGAGAAAGCCTCTGCTCCGAAGTAACTCAAAAACATCCCAAGTCGCCGACGTCTGCGAGCACGCCAGTATAAAGCACGTAGTATTTGTCGCCAATTTGGAGCCCTCAGATATAGTTCGTCGTAGATACCCAAGTCGACAATCAGACCGCGCCAGGTGTCACACTTGGATATTTCTTCAGCGATCACGGCTTTTGCCGCGGGAGATACGTCGGATGGTTGGGGTGAGTCACCTTGCACCAGGAGATCACGGACATTGGGGTCCATAGTTGGCCATTCGATACGGCGGCGCCGAGAAGAAACACGTGGATCATAGACTACGTCGACTTTATCCCGAAAGACCATGTCCTCGACTACAGTCATGCCATTCAGGGGTTCGCTGGCGTAGAAATGGGGCTCTTCAACGTGTGCAGCTGGCGTTAAATTCTGTATCAGCTGCTTCTTCATGAAAGCCTCGTGGTCCTTCAGGCGCCAAGTGACTTGTTTTCGAGGCACACCAGGAAGCTTGATCTTGGCGAGTGACTGGACGAAAGGTTGGGAGAATCCGCTGTTCCTGACCCGGTTGCTGTCACTGCGAGTAGTGCCCAGTGCAGCATACCGATCTCTAGGGTTGGAGGACTTGATAGCGTCCGAAAATTTTCCCGAGTAACACGCTCCGGTGATGGCGTTGACCTGGACGCCTTTTTTAAAGCCGGCAAGTAAGTCTCGAAAGACAAAGGGGTGAACATAGTTGTCTCCAATGCAGTACTCTCCTCTGGGGTTTTTGCGCCCTTCGAAGATGATATTAACAACATCACCGTCTTCTGCCTGTTGTTTCTTTTCGGAAATCCAAGTCTGTACTTTCTCCCAAAGTTCATGCGCACCAATCTGCGTCCACCAGTACTCGTGGTTGAGGAAAGCTTGTCTGGAGTAGGTGTATAGAGACCTGTCAAGACCGAGTTTACCGAATTTTATGACATCGATTGGGGGGTTGTTCTCATTCCTGAGCCAAGCGAAATGACGTTCCAGAGGGAAACAAGAGTAGAAGTCTCCTCCAACGCCATTCTCTTTCAGAGCCAAGCAAAAGCCCATAAAATCCGAGAAGATGAAACCTTGTGTGTGGTCAGTAGCACCACAGATAACAAGGTAGAACGACTGCTTTTCTCGAGAGTTTGATTGCTGGGCTCCAAGCAACTGTCCCTGTGCTTGTGCTTTCTTCGGATCTTGTCTAGATTTTGTGCGGTGAGGGAGGTTAGATGACTCCATAGCCGGCGAAAGAAACACTTAAACTCTTTGCAGAGGATGTGTGAAGGCTCACGAGGTTACAGACAAAGAAAGAAAAAAATAGATAGAGGGGGAGCTGGATCATATTCCTTGATCTTGGTACCCTAAGGCTACTAATCCAAATTGGGGACCGGACAGGCAGATGCCACTTAGCGATGGCTGCGCCTCGATTCAATATTAAAAGAGCGAAGTGAATAAAGTGATGGGAAATTTGTCTCTAGACTCTGAGGCCCTTACTCATGACATGAAGATGAAAGGGCCCATACGGATAATATCGAGAAAGGGAGCGATTTTGAGATAGTACATACACAGGGAGACCCTAGCTGTAGCAGCAGCTTTTTCTCAGTAGATTATCGTTCCGTCCACAGTAAGAGGTTTTCGCTTGCGAGAGCCAGCATCGCCGGCCCCTGTCATGATATTACCTGTTTTGGAAAATTATTAGTCATAAGCTGAGTCCTGCACTTGGCTCATGGAAACCCTAGATACAGAATAGACAAGACAGCTAAAGCCAATATGCACATGCAATAGTGCTAGGTGGGAAATGAGACGATTACCGTGTTGGAGTGAAATCTAGATCAATAAATAGCAATACAACACTCAATATTATACGAAGTCAAACCCATCTAAGCCAGCGGCCAAAATAGCATCTCATCTGGCATTATCACCACAGTAAGGGACCAGGGACACATTGATAGGAGGGAGGTAGAAATAGGAGCTCGAAGCAAGGATATAGGAGCAGAGTTAAGCATCATACTAGATGTGTTTACTACGTACTATTACTGGCAACTTAGTGAATTCCTGTGAATGCAAGCATGTGACTGGTAGTCATATGACATGGCGGCGAGTGACTGTGGCGCCTCTCGGAGGAACATAAATCCGCCACCCGTGCCCAGAGTTCACACTATACCCAAATCTTCAGGCGGTGAGAGACAGCACAATGGAGCCCGTCCTGATTCCCATTCCTATTCAGGGCAGTAGGTTTCTCCATGTCCTTTGTGATCTATTAATTATTTGTCCTTTCGCACTCACGGTCTTTTCTTCCTGCAGGGACTCGGCCCGTTGATTGCAGCGAGTCTCCTGACCTTGTAGAGGACGGTGCGATCTCTCCTCTGAGACTTCCCAGTCCAGGCAAGTTCAAAAGTCGGCTTTTTAGGGAGCTTCGAGCAAACTGCTGACCTCTCTATAGTGATCAAGTTCTACACTGATCAGCCAAAGGTCGGAAGTCAGTTGAACCTCGATAGTGCGCCAGCCCTCGCGCCAAATCTCCAGGCTCCTCCAGAGATCCAGACATCCTCCGGAAAGGTTTCAACAAGCACTCGCGCGCGTGTTTTTGCGACGAACGACGGGGTAAACGACGAGGCCAGCGACTACGAAATGTCAGTCTCTAAGGAGAGCCGCCCTTCCGAGGGCTTCCACCAGGAGTACATTGCGTCTCTTCGCTATCGCAATGACCTCCCTCCTCCAGAGATGCCTCCCAAGTTCCTAGACATTCCCCATGAAGGACTTGAGCGGTTTCTCACTCCGGGATTTGCCTCCAACATGGCCAGGCGCGAAGAGCCGAATATTGACGTGGATGCCGAGGGCGGTATGCCCATCGACTTAGTTGGTATCCCAGGGCTTCATTTGGGTGATGAAAGCGGTACGTCTCGGGATTCCTGGGCTGGGGACAATCAGATAACTGACCCGCGTGTTATATAGCTATCATGGCTCCTGAGAACCCTCCACCTGTTGATCCCGCAGATCTTCCCCTTCTTACTAGCTTGGATCAACTGAGGAACCCCGCTCCGAAAAATGCCAACGTCAGCTTCCTTCGTCGCACACAGTACATCACCGCAGGAACACGTGGACCAGAGGGTGTCAAGACTACGCCTGGGAAAGTGAGAGCACGGCAGGCAAATGACAAAGCCAAAGTGTCGAACGATGACCCTACGTACATTAAAAAGTATATCACCAAAGGATTCGACATTGCCTATCCAGAGAGCAAGCATACAGGCGAGGATACTGCCGATCGCATTAAAGGGCATACTCCCACCAAAGCGGAGCTCGACGCATGGGCGAATCCCGTGCATCCTGACAATCCCAAACTCAAACCCGTCGGTTTCTATCCCATCCTTCCGGACTTGCAGGGGTTCCCCGACCCAGGCGGCTTTGTCCAGTTCAAGTTCGACAAGATTCCCGTCCAACCGGTTGCAGGAAAGCGAGACGAGCGCATGGATGTTGCCATTCTATCCCCATCGGCCCCCGAAGACCGCATCTGCCAGGATCACGCCGCGAAAGTCGCTCTTCACAAGGCTAACCCGAGCTTATATCCTGATCCCGGCCCCATTCCGTGGGACTATGACCTCTTCTTGCCGGAACAGAAGGGCTCGGTGAAAAAGATTAAGCGCAGCCTCAGTATCTCGGACCCAGATCGCGACAATGAGGATAACTACACACATGAGGAGGGCGAGCGCAAGTTCCATCGTTATGATCGTATTCGCACCTATGCCACGAGTTCTCAGACTCTCAACACCGACCAGAGACAGCGGGACATTGCTGTGACACTGTTTGACCCAGAGGAGGTCAAAGACACGGACTCCTCTTCTACATCACATCTGACCCAGAAGGCCGCCTATTACTATCCAATCCTGGGCAAGACCCGTCTCCAGCCCGAAAGGGCCCGGAAATTGGCCAAGGCCGGTCTCGCTCCTACACGTCCTCAAGCCAAAGAAGACCAGGCCGACCAGATCCATGTTGTGGTTCGTGACCCTGATGAAGCTGAGATCTACAAGCGCAGTCTGCACCGAGCGGCTGTGGACCCGAATTTTGCGAAAACGATGCCTCCACCCCCAGAAGGAGCAGAGAGAACAGAGAGAGCCGAGGGAACGGAAGAAGCAGAGGGAGCGAACGGGGAGAAAGAGCCTGCTCAGGAAGAGCAGGGTGATGAAGAGCGCCATGAGCATAACGAGCATCACGACGAAGAGGGCGACTCTGCAGCTGAAGCAGCTCCCGAAGAAGAACACCAAGAAGAAGAAGAAGAAGAAGAGCCAGATGAATTTTAGGGCTATTACCATAGGTAGTATCCTTTGGAAGATCATCAGGTCGGCATCCATCTGGGGATGTTCTTTATCTCCTTGCAAATGTCTTTTTTTTTCCACTCAAAAGACCATGATTTGGGGTTTTTTTTAATCGAGGAGTTGGGCATAGGCGTTACAGGGAATGACGTTAATTAGTTAATTAACGAAGGTGTTGTTGATTCTTTGAAATTCACTGACTGGGGTGTTCCATTAGTTAGCGCTGGCGTTTTCTCGCTCTCTCTGTTCTTTTCATCCAGTCCAAATCCAATCAGCAAACCATTTGTTGTATGTACTGTACATATGTGAATATGTGTATGTATGCATTTTTTTATCTTTTTGTCTTTTCTTGACTCATTAAGGGACTGTCTTGAAATGAATGATCTGGAATGAAATGAAATATGAATATGAAATTCAATGAATGATGCATTATTTCAATTCAGTATAGCATAGTACAGTACAATACGACACAATGATATACCATTAGTGGTTAATTAATTACAGTAATTAATCACTGGGAACAAGTATTAGAGAGACGGAATGATCTCATCTCTTCTCATCTTACCTAGGTGTGAGAGGTTATTCACTAACTAATAACATGTTTATTGAAGTTTGAATTTTCAAAACTACATACACACTGGGAATAATTGGCAAAGTACTGACGGAAAACAAAAAAAAAGAAACAAGATGAAGGACGAAAATGATGAGACGAGTAAAAAAAGAAGATTCATGCTAGGTACAGTACAAACAACCAATCAATACTCGGTACAGTAATTACTGTGTGGAATGAACAGGCAGCTCACAAGGAGGGGATAAAGAAAAAAAGAAAGATGGTATTTGAACTTGAACAGGATTATTCACACATGAGGTAAAAAGAAAAAAAAGAAGAGAGAAAGAGAAGAGATAAATGTCTGTGTGTTAGGTTGGTTGGTGATCATCACATCATGTTACTGATGATCATTGATCTTGGAGGAAGAGGATTATCCTTTCATCCATCCATCCTTCCTACCTAGACACTGTTAACAGGATTGGGTTGATATTGGGGTTGTGCTGTGTTCTGCTCTGCTCTGCTCTAACAGCAGTGCAAAACTCGACGATGAGAATTTTCGTGAAAAGACCCTTCATGGTTTCAAACTTGCTTTTTGGCAAGAATCCTACCCTAGGGTCATTTCTGCCTGCAACGTCCATCCCTCTGCCTCATCCTTCTCCGCTTGGCTTTTGCGCAGTTTAATCACTCTTGGCTCGTTTGTCGTAGATGTCGAGGAGCATCATCTCTGTCGTCCTTCATTCCGTTGTCTGACCATTCGTATCGTCTGGGCCAAGTGGCTTGTCAACCGAAGTAAGGCAATGATCAGGAACGCTCCCAGGACGACTGTCTGCGGAACGTATGTGACCGAGTCCTGAGCGTAATCCTGGACCGGTTGACGAGCGACCTCATGAGCCACAGGAGGAGGATGAGGAGGAGCGCTTGGCCCAAATGACACAGAAACCGAGAAAGAAAACGGAAGCAAGGTGCCGGACACATGGGTTGTGGACGACGAGAATGACGCGGTAAACGGGCCAAGCACAAAAGTCAAGACGGATAGGATGAGGAGAGGGACGGCTAGTCATAAAACAGAGCATGGTGATGAGGTTGTTGTCCTTTTTTGTTCGGCGAGAGAAAAACAATAGTCAGCGAGGGTGTAATACAGTTTGATCAGAAGAAAGTAGCGTTGCTTACCACTCCATGTTCTCGAGCTTCCTCACCCAGCGCGCAGTAATCTTCAGTCGTTCTCTCATGCTGGTTGTCGGCAAGAGTGCGTATTTCTCTTCCTCTGCGATGGGGAGGACGCTGGCGAACCAGTACGGAAATCGTGCTGGGTCTGTCGGTGGCTCTCCGTACGCCGCGAGCGCCTGTTGACGCAGCCAAGGGGCGCCTTCGGCTCGACGCTTCTCAACAAAGTCGAGACAGAGCTGCAATAGCTGCTGTGTAGACAAAGCTTCGAGTGGCATCTCTGATGATTCCCCATTCCCCTCTGATGAGGGGGTGTTGCTCGCCGCTGCGGCCATCTCTCGCGCTTCGAGGCTCTCCTCCTCTGCCAGAGAGATGTCGTCAATGCGCTCTGTTCTGGCAACATGATAACCGTCCAGAATACCCCAGTCCACGACTTTGAATCTGGTCGAGCCAATCGCAGTCAGGAGGCTTCGTCCGTCAGGAAAGAACTCGATGCGGTCAATCCTGAGCACGGTGCCATATTGCATAAACTGCGTCATTCCCAGCTCCCCCTGCGGTTGGCCGTTTCTATTGAAGGCGACCATGCCAAATTTTCGCCCACTATCGAGCGCTCGACGGATCATGAGACGGTATCGGGGTTCGAAGACGTGTAGAAACGTCGGCATGGAGGGGAAGGAGAGAGTGCAGACGAACAACGGAAGCAGTTCATTATCCCCGTGGCTATTCTCACTCTTCGCAGCTTCTCTCCGTGCGTGGATTTCGTCTGGATACAAGCTGTCGATCAAGCCAGCCAAGATCCTGTTCACGGGTTCAGATGGCGGACCTGGCGGGATGGACAGCTTTCTCCGACAGACCGGGCAGAGACTCGAATGATCCAAGACCCGAGCCAGACACTTTTGGCAAAACGTGTGCCCGCACGAAGAGGTCAGCGGATCTATCATCAGCCCATAGCACACCTGGCAATCGAGCTCGTTCCTCACGGCCTCTTTCAGCTGCTTCAGAACTGCCTCGTCGTGCCTGATGGACTCGGAGAGGCCCCCGGAGGGCTCGACATCTTCGTAAACGACGTCTTTGATATCGTATCGGAGGCCTCCCTCTTTCATCAGCTTGTACGTGCCCAAATAACGGCCATGTTGGATGATGGCTTTTCCGACTTGGGGCGTACTTGAATTGTCGGTCTCCTTCTCATTCTCGATGGCTAGAGTCCATCGAATCTGGAGCGGCGGCATATCATGGCCAACGCTATCACCCAATACTTTCTCAAAAGCATCGAGAACCTTGCTGACTACAACGTCGACACCGCAATCACTCATGGAATGTTCCGTCAGCAACCCGCCGTCATCTATATTGCCGCATCCTTTTCCCTTCCAGGGACAAGTGAACCCTTCCTCACGCCCTGCCTCTAAGGGATGAGAAACACCCACACGTTTGCTCAGAGGGGGCAGACATGACCGACACAGCGTGTTCCCACACGGGAGCCGGAGAGGCACGCGCAGCGGCTGTGAACAGCGCGGGCATTGGATTAGATGAATTACTGAGTAAGGGTCGACGGGAAATTCAACTTGCTCGGAAGAAGAGGAATGATTGCCCTGATCATCTCGCCCAGCAGGAGAGGGCTCGACTTCACGGCCATCCTCGGATTGAGTCGACATGGATGGAGATGGTGAAATGTGGACAGTTCAATTGCTACTGTCGCGAGCCACGAGAGGTGCAAAACGCGACGCTCAACTCCCGGACCAAATCCTGATCAAGAAATGGTTTTCAATGCATCGAAAAGTGAAACGATGATAGATAGGTAGAAAGGAGAAGCAGCACGAGGATATGATATCGACCGGCTTACGGCGATGACTACCCCCAATGATGGAATCCGAAGGAAGTTAAGTTACCGGATCTGCTGGCCGCGACTGTCATCATAAATCAGCGGCAGGACGACAGAGGCTCGGCGCTGAGTGGGCTGTGACTGCCCAAGATTTAGTCAGCCTTTTTCTACAGAGCACGCAGGAAGAGTCATGCAGTTGAACTAAGAGGATGCATCGCCAGGGCGATATCGCGGTAGATTGCCGGTAGCAGTGATTAGTCGCCTCCAGAGGCGTGATTGGTTGGCTGCCGGCAATGCCGTTCCCCGCTGCGGATTTCCTCCCGGGTTGACAGTTTACCCGCAGGCATAAAACAGTCTATGTCTGCAGAGAGAACGCTACAGCATGAAGAATCATATCCATACTGACTCAGAGAGAAGTGATCATCTCTGTGGTTTCCATAATCATGACATGACAAAGACATTGCACACAGCTCTCACCCTTAGAAAACAAAGGAACCATAGGCACACTAAGGCAGTCACAGCTAAGCCCATTTTTGTGCAGACAGATCAAGACACCATAACACCGAGCATACATGTAGATCCGTAAGATGCAATCATCACCTTTCCATTCCCTGCCACCAGGGGCATCGACCGTCCGATGCAGAAGAAATTCACAAAAAGCCCGTCACAACTTAGTGTCAGGCCATCTGAGCCAATCCATCATTGCCAACAGACATACCTCGGCTGAATGGCCAGATGGAAGATAGGAAGCAAAATCGAGGTAATAAGACCACATTTGGCGAAAAACGCAAGATCACAGGGTATATATGTCCAATACTAAGAGACGCCGTCCTAAAAGGGCATTTCAGGTGGAAATCCAGAAGTTTTTTTTATGCCAGAAACATAGGAAACTGATGCAACATGATCGTTTGGTCAAGTGCTGTCTGAATCGGAGCAAGAGTCCTCCTCAAGGACGACTCGTCTCATCACGCTCTTGTCAAACAGATCCAAGGCGAAGCGTCGAGCGGGCAGCCGGAAGTGTTGGCTCTCAAGAATGGTGAGCGTCTTCCGGAATAGGTCGACCTGGCGGAAATAATCGGGATGCTTCGCTTTGAGGCTGTAATGATCCGCTTTAGCACATATCCTACAAGGCAAACTGGTCATCTACGTTTGCATACCTATGAAGTTCCGATGCGGCTCTTTTGGACAAGACAGTGTTACCCATATCGGCTATCGACTTCAATATCTTTTGCTTAATAGGATCTGGATCAGAGGTCGCCGCTTTGAACTTCTCTCGAAAAGTCCGTTCGAGTTCATGATCGCGAACGTAGGGGGGGAAGGATAGCTAAATATTGTCAGTGCTTAGTAGACTCGATGTAGAAGGAAAAAAGACCCACAGTGAAGAGCTTGCTCAGGTCCCGAGGGAGACATAACCCCAGAGAGTCGCCTCTTTGGTCGACTACGGCGTCCCAACCGGCCTCGATCAGCATCTCAAGGCCATGCTGGCTGCGTGAAATCAGACCAAGAACGAAGAAAGCCGTGCCTCTCATCGTGATCACTTCAGCTTTCTCGGCAATTCTGACAATGTGCTGGACAATCTCGGTCTCCTCCAGAAAAGGAGCTCCCAATTCCATGGAGCCAACATTTCCCACTGCCCAGAGACAACCCTTGACTTTCAAAAGCGTTTCCGGGTCTTCTTCATCCAACCGGAATTCACGAATTGTGTTTGAGAATTCTTGAAAGTGGCCGGATTGCTCAAGAAGTTTGCAACCCTCGGCGGTGCGGGCAAGTTCCCTGTAGAAATGTGGTGGCACCACGCCAATATCCTGCAGTTCTACTATGTCTTCCGGAGCAAAACTGTTCCTACGAGGGTGATCCACATAGGCTCGAGACAGAGATGCCTCCACAAGGGCAACATAAGCATCATTTCTCCCTAGGAACCAGTCGTCCATCTCTTGCGTGATGTAGTCCAGCCCATCGAGATAATGGTATCCCACCGAGGTTGACAGAAACCGGAGGAGAAGAGGAGCGCCGATCTCGCCGAGGTGATCAAGGGATGGCCGGCATTTGACCACATATTCAAGACAGTCACGTTGATTGCACGCTTCCTCGAGGATCTTCACTGCAACTTCGCACACAGCCACGTCGGGATCATAAAGCTGGGTTACGAGCAGCTTCACCACCCAATCTACATTGCTAATTCCTGCGTTATTCGACGAAATATGGTTACCAACAGCATATTTTCGTAAAAGCTTCGTTGCGAAGAGGCGAATATCTTTGGGTCCAGCAGTGAGGGCTTTGGACAAGAGGACTCTCAGGTGGCTCTCGAGACTAAAGTCCAAGTTCCCGAGAAGGGCCTGCACTAGGTCGCTTCGATCGTTGAGTTCGATGATGTGGTAGAACATATTGTGCATATGCCATCTTTCCATCATGGAAAGTCCATTGGGATCGCCGCTCAGAACACCCAGCAGAGCAAAATAGCCACCACTTAGCGTGTTGGCCATCTGCTCGCGGGAGAACAGGGGGGAGGAAGAAGTGAGCCCACTCATCCGGTCCACTTGAGCGAGACACTCGGCAATTTGCCTAAGCAATTTGTTGTCGGCGAGGTATTTTGTGCCTTCAGGGCTCTGCATCAATGTACGCAGCAGAGCACACCCAGTTCGCACGTAGCGCTGGTTCGGTTTGGTGTTGGGAATCATGGAAAACCTGTACTTGAAGGGTCTGTAGAATGCGAAGAGGCGCTTCATGAACTTTGATCCCTTGATGGCTTCTTCCAATCTTTTCGGATTCGTTAGAGGACCTTCGATGATCTGGAGGATCAAGTCCCATTTCCACTTGACGTAATTGACAGTGTTCAGCACGTGCGTTTCCAGAACGAGATTTCTGAACTGTGTCTCATCCATGGCGGGGTTCAGTCGGTTCCTTGCTGGTTCTCCAGATAACAACGACGCAGATATATCTTCATCGACAACCGAGTATCTACCTGGTGCATTTGAAAAACCGCCAGACCTGGCCAGGATCCGATTGATGCTTTCGATCTGATAGATCGTCGATGTAGAGATTTCATGGTTGTCCGCGTCAAACCTGATGGCCGGTGGAAGTAAGTCTGGAAGCACCTGAAGATTGGCGCTGATAGACCGGGGAAGTGAATGTTGGGCTAGCTTCAGTACTTCTGTCAGGAGCAAAGTAGCTTTTCGCTTCAGAGACATATTGGACTCCACTTCAATGAGGTCGGAGAGAGCCTAGAGTATGATTAGTCTGGATTATGGCAAAGGAGAGCGGCCTGCAGCAATACCTTGACTAGTCCCGCCTCGAGCAACGTCGCCAATACCAGGGCAGAGAAATGGGCTGTCAGGTCGAATCGGTTTTTGTCGTTCTCTGAGAGAAAACGCAACTGCTTAGTATCCGACTCGGAACGGAGATTCGTAACGCGACCGTAAGTTGTAAGCCGCCTGCCAGCGAGAAAAGACGACGACCATGACGGTGGTTTTATGCGAAGCGCATCGAACAGAAGCTCCAAGATCAGATCCCGTGCTTGTGAATCAGGATAGTTGAGCGACTCAAGGAGAGACTGGAGAGGCTTTGCTTTATTTCTAGCTAGAATCAGCAGTCCTGGCCATGTCTTCAACATTGCCGAGATCGCTTTTGCCGAGCACTTTAGTCGCCCAGTTTGGATTGTGTCCGAGAAAGAGTCGGTAAACGGAGTGAGAACGGCTTCTAATTCACGACCACCTTGCAAATACTTCCGTCGGTGCGGTGAATCCATGATGTGTAGAAAGCTGTTCATCAAACTCTCCGACGCGCCAAAGGTCCCCTCCGCCAGAGCGTCGTGCAAGGCACCGATGCCTCCGGCGTGGGCAAGTAAGGACGGGTCTTTGACCAAGATTTCCGCAAGGGTCATGATGGATATGTTCTTCAAGCGATCCTCCTGATGCTCAGCCACGGACACTATGGCCCGAACTACAGCACGGGAAATCTCATAAACTCCATCTTTGACATCCAAGAAGGCTCTGATGAACTTGAGAGCTTGCTCGCGCTCTATGCTAGCTTTGCTCTCCTTTACCAGGGATAGAATCACTAGCTCATCGGTATGCAGTGACCGGATGATCTGAATGGAAGCTCGATCGGCGATAGCATAGCGGGTCAAACGGTATCCAGCCGCGACGACCTCCTTGCTATCACTCAAGAGCATCATTTGGACACGTTGGCCGAAAACAGACCACTCCAGATCATACTTTAACGTTGGATGCCGTTTGAACAATTCGACCAAGCTATTTGCCCGTTCGACATAGTAGTCCGGCGCCATTCCTTCAACCTCCAGAGCCTGAAGGGTTTCCGCAAGGACGTAGGTTGGCGACTCTGTTTCACCGTCTCCATCCTCCAGATCACCGTCAACAGAATTAGTTGCACGCGATGCAGATCGCATAGGACTGTTCCGGAACAGAGCAGAAAGGCGACTTCGCGGAGGCGTTGATGGGGCTTGAGCACGGAGTATTTCTTCTTCCAGCTCATGATGGAGCTCTGCCAGTTTGCGGTTGGACGAGCTCAACTCGGACTCCACTCTCAGCCTCTGCTCCTTTGTTTGCTTTGGATTTTTGGCCAGCAAAGCCTCCAACATATTCTCGGTTCCATCTCTGATCTTCAATTCCTTTGCAATCTTGTCTCGGATGGCCGCCTGGCGCTGCTCGGTGGTGCTGACGAGTTCGTCCTCATCAATAGCATTCCCTGCTGCCCTGGAGTACATCGCATCTGGCCGGGGTGTTACACTCCTGGAATTGGTCACGCTCTTCAATTCAGAACTGAAGCTACCCGGGCCCTGGGCAGATGCGCCTCGAGCACCAATGGAGGCGCTCCCCCCGGAAGCTGAGCGGCCATTGCGTGTTGATCGAGATATAGAATCATTCCAGCTCCCCGGTCCAGAATGCTCCTCCTGACTCCTCGAGAACGGCTTCCCATCACCGAAAGCACGGTGCTGAGTCGGTGTTGCCGAGGTCCCAGAATTAGACCCAGACGCCATGAATCTCCTCCATGTAGCAGCCGAAGCACAGATATCACCTGTCGGAAACGGAACAAGCAGCGAAGGATTTCATTGAGTCAAGAGGAGGTAAATCGGGCAGAAAGATGCTCCAGAGAAGACGCGTCAGAAGGTATGGTTCCAGAATCGGACTGGCATTAGCAGTGCTGGGTTCGCTGTTGGGCTTCGCGATCCTGGTGTGAAGATAGCGGTTCTGCAAGTCGACGAGACAGTTGCGCTGTGAGATTTAAGAAACCTTTTGTTAAGAGGGAGTAACAATAGCAATACCCTAGAGCAGAGCGATCGCAGCGAAGGTGCACATTGGTGATTGGAGTGACGGCCAAATCAGAAGCGAGCAGCCCACCGTCCCTCCTGCTGGTGTCCCGCTGTTGTTCCTTCCCCATGATACGCTTCTTGGCACGCGGGCTGCTGATCACGCCAATTGCTGCCTGAGGCATGAATAGTGCACGTGATCTGAAAGGATGCTGACATCCCCAGTGGCCTGTGACCAACAACAGTAAAATGCTCACTTCTGAGAACCTTGTGCATTACTGGAGGTGTCAACTTGTATACTTCTTTGCAGTTAAATCAGGCTGAATTCAAACGCATTCAATGCTCTCACCCAACTAAAAATATAGCGGTGAGGATTTTGACTTTTGACCAATGATACCCTATTGCGAAGACGCAAATTCGAGCATTTTACTATCAGCTAAGATCTGAGATCAAACTGATACCTTCTCTTTACTCCGGCATCTAGCTGCTTTTGGATTTTGGTTCTCTGGAATACCAATTTCGAAGCCACCCAGTAGTAACATACGACAACACTGTTTTTGTTGCCTTTCATTGCAAGTAAGTAATCAATTACGACGTTGGCATTCAACTATGTAATAGGGTGACTGCTGAGCACAGTATTCTTCAGACTATCGACATCTAATAATAACCTAAGATATGGTCTTCTACGATAGCAAAATGAAATTGGTAAAAGAAAAGACAAACTCTGCGAAAATTCGATCCAATGACAGCTGGAAGGGTCAATCGGCGCCGGAGTCCGAAGTATCTCCGCATACGCAACATCATACGATGATGAAATGAAATATTGTCAAAGCACGATGTTGCTGAATAACGTTTATTACTAGTTTGGACTGAGCGACGGTGCCAGCCGGCTGCTCGGCGGGCGCCAACCACAGCGGTGCAGATCGCTGGGCAGGCCAATGCCCCGGGCTTCGGAGCCGGCCGATGGCTATCGCTATCTAATCCTAGCTATTAATACCCGCCCAAGCTTGCATGCATCACATCGCAGGACCAGAGCTTGGTCGCATGAATCTTTCGATATTACTCCTCTAAAACGGATCCACGATTCTTGTGTTACTTATATAGGTCCTCCTATTAGGTAGGGTGTGTCCCACCAGCTTCTGTCCCCGGCGTCGCGCACTGGGTGAGCTGACAACCCGCTGCGATAAGACGTCTATATAAGCACCTCACCCCCTCATTCGCATTGATCTCCAGAAACATTGTACTGAGACATTGGATCGCTAACAATTTGCTCAATTCTTTGAACATTTTAGAATCATCTAGTATTTGTCCCTTTTTTTACGATTTCCTAGCCAGAGGCCAAGTCTTATCGGCGTTATGACTTCGAAGCTTGCTGCTGCCCGCTATGGCAAGGACAATGTCCGGGTCTACAAGGTCCACCGGGACCAGAAGACTGGGGTCCAAACGGTTGTGGAGATGACTATTTGCGTGCTCCTGGAGGGAGAAATTGATGTTTCGTAAGGACTTGCTTTGCACCCCTTTCCTGACAACGGCTCACGTTTCGTAGCTACACCAAGGCCGATAACAGCGTCGTCGTCGCCACAGATTCAATGAAGAACACCATCTTTATCCTCGCCAAGCAGCACCCGGTCACCCCTCCCGAGCTTTTCGGGTCCATTATCGGCACTCACTTCATTGAGACCTATAAACACATCCATGTTGCCCACGTGAACATCATCACCCACCGATGGACACGGATGACTATTGACGGCAAACCGCATCCGCACTCGTTCCTGAGAGATGGAGCGGAAACCCGAAATGTGCAGGTCGATGTGACTGAGGGCAAGGGCATCGAGATTGCGTCGAGCATCTCCGGCCTCCACGTTCTGAAGAGTACTGGTTCCGAATTCTGGGGCTTTATTCGCGACGAGTACACCACCTTGCCGGAGACTCGGGACCGCATCCTGAGTACCGAGGTGGATGCCACGTGGAAGTGGAAGAAATTCGACAGCCTCCAGGCGGTCAAAGCAGACATCCCGAAATTCGACAGGGCTTGGAGTCTCGCGCGGGAAATCACGCTCAAGACGTTCGCTGAAGAGGTCAGCGCCAGCGTGCAGGCTACGATGTATAAGATGGCCGAGAAGATTATCGCGGCCGTCCCTGATGTTGAGACGGTCGACTACTCCTTGCCGAACAAGCACTACTTTGAAGTTGGTGAGTTTGAAAAAGCTACCGTATCTTGTTGTTAATGACGATGAGGACTGTTGCTGACCGAAGCGCCTCGGCACAGATCTCAGTTGGCACAAGGGCATCAAGAACACCGGCAAGGATGCTGAAGTTTACGCCCCTCAGTCCGGCCCTAATGGCCTGATCAAGTGCACCGTATCGCGCTCCGTCAGCGCCAAATTATAAGACTACTGTAGTTGTCTCGAATAGCCGCATGATGTTCCTTTCTTTACGAGAATGTTGCGTGTAGTGGTGTTAATTATATATAGGGTTTATCTATTATAAATGAGGGATCGTTTTCTTTATCAGTTTGACTTTCACGGTTCCATTTGTAATATACAGTATGGGACTCGAGCAGGAGAGCGAATCAAGTACTTTCCCAAACGTCAAGTCTCAGACAGACACAATAGTGCGGCGGAATAGATCGAAACATTGACAATGTTACATAAATAAACAAAAAAAAGCGTTATCCCAAGACTCCACCCATGCGCTTTTGAAAAGCTACACAAAAGGAAAAAGAATAGGAAGATAGCGGCAGCAAAGGATATCGTTGAAGCTGCCAGATGGGAAAGAAAATGTGTTCTTCAAGGGCTCTTATCCCGACGCTCTTGCTTTCTTCAGCGTCTCCTGAACCTCTGGCAAGTTTCCTATGCCGGACTGGTTGCCAAACTTGATAATGTTCTCCTTGTACGGATGGTTGAGACCTTCGAACGCTGCAAGACAGAAAAAAAATGATCAGCATGGGCAGGCAAGCACGGAATCCATTCAATGGGGGAGAACAAAACTCACTCTTTAGTCTTGCCAATCTCTTCTCTCGCAGCCTGTTCTTTGGCAACATCCCTCTCACTGCTCTGCGCAAGACTTCCCCACCACCCCATTTCTCGAACATCTTGTCCATGGTCATGCTCTTCAGACTGCCTGGACGCGTCGTGTGGGTGTAGTACTTCTTCTGGAACCGCTTCTTTCCCGTCGTGCGGAGATCCTTGCAGCCGACAGCGACGACATAATCACCGCAGTCCGTCGAGGGGTCATAGATAGGCTTGTGCTTGCCCATTAAGAAGACTGCAATCCTGGAGGCAATCCGGCCAAGGGACCGGGGGTCGGAACCGACATCAATGTAGTGCCATACCCGGGAGTAGGCGAGACGAGTCTAAAAAAAATATCAGTAAAGGTCAGAGCCTGGGTCATCATCAATCGGCAACGGAGGTGAGGTATAAAGCAATCAATACCTTTCCGACTGTTTGCGACATGGCTGCCAATTGACCGGAGTCTGTAAATGAAAGCCAGCCGTGTATAGGGTTTTTGAAAAAAAGTTTGGATGGAAATAGCCACCCCTTAGTCGTATGAGTGACAATCAATGGGGCCTGGAGACTCCCTTGCTGACGCCGAGCTCGTCTTCTCCGAACTCTTGCTCGTTGAGGTCTCGGGAGGTTCGACGTCCATTTCGGCGGAGCTATCACGTGACGCATCACCATTCCGCACAAACCCTAGCTGGAACTAGCGCACCACACTAAGCGAAAGCCCGCACACCCGCGAGGTCTTTGGATTTTATCACCTTGATCGAGAAGATCTCCGACGACGACACGACACACTCTTCGACACCGGCAAAGCCATCCTACCCACCATGGCTTCCATCCCGAGTGTGCAATGCTTCGGCAAGAAGAAGACTGGTGAGTGGTCCATCCTGGGGCGGTTTTTCATGATGGGATTGACGGGCTGACCTTTGTATTTTCGCAATTATTAGCTACGGCTGTCGCCCACTGCAAGGTACGAATTTATATGCCCTGATCGAAATTGAAACTCGATGAACATACTAGTCGAAGTTTTGTCGATTTCAATATTCTCTATATCGCAATTTGGAGGAAGACGGTTACTGAAATTGGAGAACAGCAAGGCAGGGGCCTGCTTAAGATCAACGGCCAGCCGATCACCCTAGTCAAACCCGAGATCCTGCGCTTCAAGGTACGACTTTTTTTGTGTCTCCGCTGCGCGTTGGAATGGCCTCTTGCGGAGGGATAATGTCCATTTTGTTTTTTTTTTCTCGGCGGCGCATTCTGATCTGTTTTCGCAAACCTAGGTCTATGAGCCTCTCCTGATTGTCGGCCTCGACAAGTTCGCCGGTGTCGACATTCGTGTCCGTGTCTCCGGAGGTGGTCACGTCTCTCAGATCTACGCCATCCGTCAGGCCATCGCCAAGTCCATCGTCGCCTACTACCAGAAGTACGTCGATGAGCACTCCAAGAACCAGCTGAAGCAGGCTTTCATCCAGTACGACCGCACATTACTCGTCGCCGACCCCAGACGGGCCGAGCCGAAGAAGTTCGGTGGTCGTGGTGCCCGCGCCCGCTACCAGAAATCCTACCGTTAATTTTGCGGCTTTTTGGCGTCTGGAGACGACGGTGTGGTGGGCTGTTCTGGGAAAGATGGAGAACCGCGTGGTTGTGAAGGTGGCGGTTATGTGGGATACTGGCTCTTAGTTTGTGTTTGTTTCACCGGGTGGCAGACTAGGCCAGTTTCTTGTTTAAAGAGTATCAGATTCCTTTGTTCGGGAAAAAGAAACCCGGGATATTATGCCCTTGTTTATGTGGGTTCAGGCAAGGTCTCTGGACGAATGGCATTGTTATATCAAAAAAAAATGATATCATACGATTTACCACTTTAAAACGGCCCCCTCAAAATTGGTTTGATATTATAGATTCTTGCATTTCGTTAATGGTGGACCATGATGTGGATAATGACAAAAGCTCTTTTAAAGCTTAAGTTATTATTGCACATGAGTGTCACTGTCAGCCATAGTCATATCTACATCGGCCTCTGGAGCGGCATCTCTTTCGCCGGCACCGCTTTCGCCCAAGTCCACGACCACCGGCGCATACTCGCCCGTCTCATCATCTGCGTCATCGAGTTCCATCTCGACCTGTTCCCCATCCTCGAGTTGCAGCATTCCCCGGCGCATGTAGGCTTCTTTGCGCAGCTCCCATTTAAATTCCTTTTTCACCCACTTCTCTAATGCGTCCATTTCGGCTTGAACGATGGACCCCGTGACCCCTTCCAGGACTTCTTGCATGGACCTCCGAAACCCCATCAGCAGCTTTTGGAGAAAGGCCCCACCGTAGTCCCCATCCATCTCGAAGAGGCCGCCTTCGACAACATCGCAATGCTTTAATTGTAACAGGAGCAGCCGCAGCACATCTCTGAAAAATGTCTCGCGAGTCCTGATCGCCGTGCGACACGTCAAGATGAGATTCAAGAGTCGCTTCCACTGCTGCAGGCATGAGTAGTTCATTAGCGTCAGCACCATCAAGAAAGTGAACTGTAGTTCCCCTAAGATCTGTCTTTCCCCAATGCGTTCGTCCGAGGACGGCGCGGAATATCGCCTAATGAGATCTCCCAACGCCCATGACCGGTCCTGCGCGGCCTCTGTCCTTTCTCGTCCAATCGCTCCCTCGCGCCATGTCCGCTTGAGGTCGACAGGCAGGAATCGCAATTCCTTTTCCTGTTCACCGGCGACTCCGCCCCTTGTAAACTTCTCTGCTGAGATCCCCGGAATCCGATCCGCATCTTGGGGAGCCGTGCTGGCAGAGGTAACCGTCCAACTGGGGCGGCCATCGATATCAAGGTCTGGGTCGTCCAACACCCGCGAGAGTAGCCGCGGCGACAACCGATCGGTCAATCCAGACCACGCCTTCCTTCCTTCCTCTTCGCATTTCTCTTCTTCATGGGCCTTTTTAGTGTCGTTTTGTTTGTCGGAGGAGTCCGAGGACGGTAATCGAGTCCGATACTTGAAGAGTTTCCCACTCTGCCATGTGGCACCCAAATTGGCCTTGAGGCGCATCACTTCCTGCCTATCATCATCCGTCTCTCCTGTCATCGGGACCAAAGCTTCGATATTCTGATCCCATTTCCAGATGCGAATCTCCGACTGCATGTTGTCATCACGCCGCGCCTGGACGACGCGGCCGTCCTCGTGCCCCGCAACATCATCAACGGCAGAAATGTCGCCAACGTAGAACCATGCGCCACATCGCAGTGAGAAGCTCTCTGTCGTTCCGGTGTAGAGAAAATGCCAACCTTCCGGGAGGTCTCGTATTCCATGGAAATTCTCCGTCGAGGTGAAGGAGATTAAGTCGATGCCAACGAGGGTCTTCGCGGGGAGGCGGGGCACCAGCAGCGTTGGCGTCGGTGATAATTGTGATTGTTGAGCCATATTAGTACCTGATTCCTTTTTCTCCGAATTGTCGGAATACGAAAACTCTGTAGCGACTGTTTATTCTGTCGTCAATTAGCATTTGGAGGAGAAAGCAAAGGCCAAGGCGCGGTTTCCAGTCTCCGATGTTTTCTGCAGGCGGGAGTAAGGTCTGGTCCCGGACCTTGTGGTGTGGAGTAAGTCACGAAGTCAGAGGCGCTTAACCTCAAATATGAAATTTATTTAATACCTCCAGAGGATCATATCCTCTTCGAACGCATCAGGCCGATATCAAAGTGGTGTATGGAAGAAACGATATTCATTCTGGTTGGTCCTGCAGTCTACAGCTCGGTTCCGCGGTCGCGTCATACGTCACCAGTCCTCTTCTGCCTATCGAAAATTATAGAACCCCCTTCCTCCATTACTTGCAATTATGACCTTCATTGAAATAATCTTCCCAAAATTCTAAGGAATTTGGCCAATAGATTTATCAAGGAATACTTGACAACAAGACGGCGTCAGTTGAGATACGTCATTTATTCATTCGCTAGCTGGTATACATAACGTGCTACTAGCAAGCGCGGTTTTCCCAACAAAGAATATAAACTTTTTTTTGTCATAAATGAAATGTGAAGACCAGGCGAAAATGCCGTTCTTCGCGATTATTCCATCCACAATTGCGAGCAGATAAGCCCGCAGGTATCGTCCACTCCGCCCACGCCCAGGCCGTAATAGATCCGAAGCGCAATTTGGAGGATAACGTCCTGCACATGTCTACAGACGACGACCACGGCGACCACCCTTGCGACGGGTCGAGTCGTGGGGCGTAGGAGTCACATCCTCAATGCGGCCAATCTTCATGCCGGAACGGGCCAGGGCACGGAGAGCCGACTGAGCACCCGGACCAGGAGTCTTGGTTCCGTTACCTGATGTGATGTCAGGTACAGTCTAGAAAGACAGAAATCAGCGCAATAGATACATACCACCAGTGGCACGGATCTTGATGTGGAGGGCGTTGATGCCCAGCTCCTTGCAGCGCGCAGCAACATCCTGGGCAGCCAACATCGCAGCATAAGGAGAGGACTCGTCACGGTCAGCCTTGACCTTCATACCACCAGTGACACGGCAGATAGTTTCGCGACCGCTGTAATCACCCAGGATATTAGCCTCTGCATGTCGCATTTTCTCTTGTGGTTCCGCAGGACACCGAAGTCGATCTCAAATCCCAGCGAAGCCCAGGACAGATATCGAGCCGCAAACAGGATAATGAGAGGAGAGAGACGAACCTGAGATCGGTGACGTGCACGAAGGTGTCATTGAAGGAGGCAAAGATACGGGCGACACCGAAGACGAGCTTGCCTGTAAACTGGTCAATTAGAAAGGTAACGCGACGCTGTTTCGTGCGGGACAAAAGGCGTACCTTCTCCGCCCAGAGGGCCGAGAGAGACGTTCTCCTGGGCGGGACCGGTAGTCTTCTTCTTGGGAGGCATTGTGATGGTGGTGGACTGCGATTGTGGTGGAATACGGGAGGGAGAAAGAGAAGCACTCCTACGAGGCCTGGAAAAGTGTAGACATAAAAATTGACGGTGTGCCCTAGAATGCCCCGCGAAAGCGCTGATTGGCTGCCGGTGCTGTGTGGGAAAGCGCACCGCAAGCGAGCGTCCCGTCGGCGTGGTCGGCGTTAAGTCGGCCCGCTAAGCGACGGTTCGAACGAGATTTCAGCTGACAGCTCGCCCCTCCTTTTATTTTCATTCATCCTGAAGCTGACTGCGTAACTCTGCTGAGCAGAGTTTTCTTCGGAAGTTTTATAGCTCTCAGATCAAACCATCCATGCTTGTATCTCCCGAGAGATTATTCATCTGAAGCAGAAAGGGTTGCACCCGTCAGCTCTGCCGCCTCTCTGTTGCTGTATATTTCTAGCTATATTTTCAAGTCTTTTCGAGGCACGGTGCCTCATCTACAAAGCGATTGACCAAAATGGTTCTCACAAAGGAAAATGCTTCCATTGGAATTATTGGAATGGGTGATATGGGCAGGATGTATGCCCAGCTACTGAGCAAAGCGGGATGGAGGTAATCATTGCTTGCCCTTGTCTAAGTTGTAATCACTCGAAAGCAGTGATTTGTTCTTCTGGTGAGTCACAGACTTTTCTTTACCTTATCTGTGCCTTTTATGATGACTAGAGTGCATTTGACTCGAGCATGATCTGACGGCGACTGCCTCGCCATTCTGGCGGTGGCATCGTCGTCAGACTGTCGCTGATGAAAGTCATACGCTACCTTATCTTTTATTCTATCTGAAACGTTTATTACGTCTATTACATTTGTTATACGATTCTTCATTGTTTCCTCTATCACAAGAGTACACTGCTAACTGGTGTTTCTTCAGGTTTATTATTTTGCGATAGCCACATAGTCTAGAGCTAATAGTCGATTGGTCTCGTTAAGGGTAAACGCTTGTGACAAACCGGAAAATTTCAACTCCCTCAAGGAAGAATTTGCATCGCATGTATGTTCTTTGCCGACTTCTCTGTAACCGGTAAGCTTATTAGGCGTAGCAAGGTATCACAATTCTGCCGAATGGACATCTGGTCTCGCGGATTAGCGACTACATCATCTACAGCGTAGAGGCCGCATTCATCGACAAGATAGTCGCGGAATATGGGCCGTGTATGTCATCACCTAGTGAGCACCCTTAACCTCTGGCGTGTCTGACCTCCTGTAAAGCAACCAAGGTCGGTGCGATAGTCGGCGGTCAGACATCCTGCAAAGCCCCAGAGCTGGCTGCATTCGATAAGTACCTGCCTCCGGATGTAGAGATAATTTCTTGCCATTCACTGCACGGTCCCAAAGTCAATCCGAAGGGCCAACCTTTGGTATGGCTTGCCACCGCGTATCCATCCGAGTCTCGACTTTATAATAACATTGAGCTCCAGGTCCTGATTCAGCATCGAGCTTCAGATGAGAGTCTGAGGTTCGTGGAGGAAGTCTTTTCCTCCTTCGGCTCGAAGTATGTATATCTCAGTGGTGAAATGCACGACCGGATTACCGCAGATACACAAGCCGTCACACACGCTGCATTCCTCAGTATGGGCACCGCATGGCAGGCCAACAATCAGTTTCCTTGGGAAATCCCCCGTTGGGTGGGAGGTATTGAAAACGTGAAGATTAATATCACGTTGCGGATTTATGCGAACAAATGGCACGTCTATGCCGGCCTGGCGATTCTGAACCCATCTGCAAAAGAGCAGATTAGGCAATACGCTCAATCAGTGACGGAGCTCTACAAACTGATGATCGAAGGCCGCAGAGAAGAGCTAAAGCGAAGGGTCAAGGCTGCAGGCGCTGCTGTCTTCAGATCTGACACCGCGGGACAAGATCTGCTTTTGAAAGACGAGGTGCTGGACAGATTCTCTCTGTCTAATTGCTCTCGAGAGGAAGCGCCTCCTAACAGTCATCTCAGTCTGCTGGCAATCGTTGATTGCTGGTCCCAACTTGGCATCGTCCCGTACGATCATATGATCTGTTCGACTCCTGTAAGTACTTCATCCCCTCTGCGAGTCTTCAGCTTCTGTGTTCTGTCGTGGTCATGAAGGATGGCCGCTTACCCCGCCTGACCAAGCTTTTTCGAATCTGGCTGGGAGTGACGGAGTATCTCTTCCGCAACCCTACTTTGCTCGAGGAGGCATTAGATACCGCTATCGATGACCACACTTTTCGCTCCGACGATCTTGAATTCACATTTGCAGCACGGGTAAGTGTTCGATAATCATTTTTTCCCGGTATCTGTATTGGGTTTAGTGTTTGGTTCCCCATTTATTATTATTGGGTTGGAGATCATTAGCAGTACGGAGTCTTATTCTACGTCGGGAACAGTCCCCGCGACTCCGCGTGTCTACGCTGGGGAACGCCAATCTGGCTGAATTGGATTTACGTTGTTCCAGCAGACCCTTAGCTCCGCGGTGGTTGACCTATGTTTGCAGGCCTGGTCAGATTGCGTGTCCTTCGGGGATTTCGAATCTTATCGCGACCGTTTCGAGCGCATCCAGCGCTACTTTGCGCCACGATTCCCCGAAGCAGTTAGAATTGGAAACGAGATGATGAAGACCATTCTTGAGAAAACGGGGTCATCGTAACCGACAACGCTGGCTATATATTGTCACGGTTCCATACGGCGGTTCACGTGACGGAAAAACTAAATTTAAAGTGAATTAACGAAAAAGGGAAAGGAAAGAAGGTTCATTTTTATTCCCCGATACTCAAATTCATTCACGCGTCAGCAACTCCCAGGAGATGAAACCCCCACGAATCTTCAAGGGCTAGGAGCGGAATAATACGCCCTGGGGCTGTAACCTGGCCCGTGCGCCCAACGGCGATCCCTCTGCTTTGTCCCGTACGAGCACCGAGTGGCCAGGCCCAAGATCTGCTTCAGCCATCAGCCCTCGGGAGGATCAATGATCGTCGCAACGTGTGGATGTCGTGGCACATGCTCCGTACTCTGACTTGCATTGTATTATTCGTACTCCGGTGTCAACAAAGATCGTCGCATGATTGGACGATGCTCACAGGACAACATCCGTCGGTTGTAGTGACAGAACGCTGAAGTTGTGTTTTTTCTTTCCCGCTATTTGTGGGTCTTCATGGATTTCATTGAAGAGTCGGATTCCAAAGTTGATCCGGGCTAAAAGGATGTCGACCGCAGACGTTACATGAGCTTGGTACACCATACTCGGTACCGCTGTGGTGCCGTTGTTGGATCGGATGATGCAATTCAGTCTCTTGGCTACATTAATACCGGGTATTATATATATCAATATGCATGCAGTCTGCGACTTTCTTATCTCGATCCTGGTCACCATTGCTGCATTAGCTCCCACACAGTCTGTCCTTCCATCAACATCAGGAAAGGATATGGATGGATGTCCACAAGTATACACTTGTACAATTCACCCTCCACGGACTATGTCTTTCACAGGCCATCTTTCACCTAATAAGAGATGAAATTCAATACTCCTTATAAAGATAGGCGATCCATACCACACGGAATGCTTGTTAATAGTTCTTACAGTCTTCTCGGGGAACCATTTTCCCCCCTGGGGGGCGAAAACGAAAAAGGAAAGACGAGACCACTGGGTAATTAACGGGATTCGGTAGAATGTGGACTTCGGGTACGACTGTTTGGGGTCCTTGCGCTGATCTCGCAGCAAACCCTGACCTAGACAGCCGCCACTGCGAGTAAATACCTGTCTGCAGGATTCGCGCCGCGGATTGTCGCAAGAACAACTGCCTTTGTCGTAACACCGATTGGCGTGTACAACCTAGGGTTTGCAAGTGATCTGTTTCCAATTAGCGATCTCATTTTGGCCTCTCCGACAATACGCCAGGCCCTACTGAGGCTTACTTACAATACCTGCCTTCTGAAAGGCTTGAGCTTCGAGGCAGCGACCAGAGCGATGGACTCGGATTATGGCCCTCCACGCCGAGCAGCTTTGTCCCCATCATTGGTTGTGTATCTAACCTGAATGGATGGAGACGAGATTTTTCCCCTTAAGCTCTCGCCCATTGCTGGGCTGTCATCTGTGCTGGCGTGTCCGTGCTGTCAAACTGTGGTGCAGATGCAACCTCGGCGGGATGCGCCAATCTTCCTGTAACGTCTTTATCTAGCATCTACTCTGTAGCGAGTCTTATTCCGATGATTATGTCTTTTTTAAGGTGATTGCACGAAGCGGCTTCGTCATTTTTGGCAAGATGTGGGTGACCCATTGTGAATATAAGCTTCGTCATATCTGCCTTAAGATAGGGCAGGGTGCCATATTATTAAATGCTAGATCATTCACTGGACCACTTCTTCACTGGGTGATCAGTTGATTGCTCGTGTGGACTTTTCATCCTTCCTCTCCTCTCTCAACTACTGACTCCCTCTCTCAACCATTGACCCCATTGGAACGGCCAGATTCTCTGGTTCCAGTCATCATGAGGGTGTCGTATTCGTCTATCGCAGCAGCTGCTGTGGCAGCGTTCCGTGAGTATTTCTACTATATCTGTCCTTATGGAGCTGGACTGACGGTGGCTGGTCGTGTCTAGTGCCTTCTGCCCTTGGCCAGATTGTCCAGTACACTCCTGCAGGTGTGGATGGGATCTCTTTCAGCGTCAATGCTCCGGCCCAGACGGTGCAGTCTGGTTCAGGGCCCGTTTACCTTCAAATCAAAGGCCCCAGCAATCTGCAGTGGCTTGCGGTGGCTGAGGGTTCTCGGATGTTAGACGCGAACATGTTCGTCATCTACGCGGCTTCTAACAATAACATCACGCTCTCTCCTCGTCTGGGCGCAGGCCACAAAGAACCGCTCTTCAATCCAGCTGTCCAGGTCTCATTGCTTGATGGTAGCGGCATCAGCAACGGCGTTATGACGGCGAATATCCGGTGTGACAGCTGTCTGTCTTGGGCCGGCGGCAGTGAGAATGTGAAGAGTGCATCTGCTCCCTTCATCTGGGCGGTTCGACATGGAGAGCCCCTGGAGTCCACCGATGTCACCGAAGGTATCCACATCCATGACAAATTTGGGGGATTTACAGTCGACTTTGCGAAAGCAACAGGCGGGAACACAGACAATCCTTTTTCAGACTCCTCCCTCTCTGCCTCCGCAGCGAAAGCCGCGGCCCAGAAGAGTTCCGGTCACCAGATGCGGACAGCTCACGCCATCATCCTGTCCATCGTCTTCGTGTTGCTCTTCCCGAGCTTCGCGTTGACTCTCCATCTGTTTCCATCGTCCAAGACGGTTCCATACATCCATGCTCCTCTTCAGCTCTTTGCGCTCGCTGCGGCCATCGTTGGCTTCGGACTCGGAATCGCGATGGTGGTCAACTCAGGGCATGTTTCAGGTTATCATCAGATCATTGGAATCGTGGACATCGCAGCATTGGTCCTCTTCCAGCCCATCATGGGTCTTTTGCAGCACTTGCACTATCGAAAGCACGGCAATAAAAGCATATTTGCCTACATCCACCGCTGGTTGGGTCGCTTCCTCGTCATTCTCGGTATCATTAATGGTGGATTGGGCTTCAAATACGCTGGGATTGGAAAGGGAGCTCCTCGCGGTGCGGTTATTGCATATGGAGTGATCGCCGGGGTTATGGGCGTGGGCTACATCTTTCTCATTGTCCATTCGACCTTGAGAGCCAGACGTAGCAAGGACAGCAGTGAGAAATGAAACAAGAGCGAGCCAACCTTGCAGTACGACCTCAGATGTTTTAATAAAACCCAACGAAGACTGTGACTGCATCTTGGGTCGATGTTGATGGCTGGACGTCTATGATGCCGATGATGACACGATGCTCTTTGTTTTTTTTCCCCCTCGTCCTCTGCATCTTCTTTCGATAACTCTCTAGCATGAATGAATTGGCGATTCACTGTTCTCTTTGATGCAAGTGTAATTTTTTTTAATATGGGGCTTTGATATTCATATCAAGGCAACAACACCGCCATGACTAGCGAATTCCACGAGATAGAAATCAATAAATCAGATGACATGAGGTTTATGGTCCCCTTTTTATCCGGAATTATCTTAGATTGGTGCGCTCCTCTTCAGTTCAGTTCGTCTTCGATCCAAACGCGGCCAAGTACTCCGTAGCTAAGAAGCTTCCCAGGATCCCCTGTCTGTAGATAAATGGCTGGCTGCATCGCCTCGTTATCTCCATCTGCATCGTCTCTTCAGCATATGCTTCTTCTCATTTTCGTCTTGCTTTTCCATCACTGCTGAGGTCAGATATCGAAGTTTCAGGTGAGTTGAGATAACTGATAAGGAGCTTGTGTGGGTCCCTGCCCACTTTCCTCCCCCCAGAGTCCGGGGTTGTTCCTTACCTGCTGCAGGCAGCTGTCGCTGCCTCGCGCACGCGACCCCAGGCCGACATTGGCTCATCGACTTCTTCATTCCCAGGCTGATGGGCTTCATCCAGGGCTTTCGTCCGTTGCCACTGTTGTCTTTGGTATCAATCCCCAGTCGACTTGAACTATGTCTTCGCTTGTCGCCATCGAGAAGAGCTGGTACGAGGCTCTACTTCAAAGGTAAGAAAGTGATGAGGGAGCCTGTTGGGGGTGTTGCCAATTGGACCAGCTTGGCTGCATCGTCTTCTCTACAGGTTTCGTTTGATGCTCAACCGTTTGACATCCAACTTTCACTCTGTTGACGCAGACTCTTCAATGACCTCTCACTCCAATTCCCACAGCATGATGTCTAATAATACTGACTGCTGGCACTCTGCCTACAGTACTAGATCGGTGAGCTTCTGTTCTCCATTTCGCCTCTGTCGCCTGTCTTGCTCAGAGCTCATCTGTTTCTCAAAATCCTTCAATATGCGGTTTCTACGAATTAAGCCTGTCGCGCTGATCACACTGTAGAGCCCCAGCAATGTGCATGACGAAGCTCCTCCTCCGGACTTGGACATGGTCACTATTACGAGATCTCGCTATGAGCAGTTGGTGAGTACCGAAATCTTAGAAGTCCGTGGTTTACATTATGTTACTAACAGTTATGATTTCTTAGATTCGCTTTTCCCAGCAGTTCGGTACGTTTGACATACTGTCCTTTGTCTGGATATTAGTTCTGAGGCATCTGGAGTTCTCTGACATTCTAATGATTGCTAGAAAATCTCAAAAACTCGCTCCTGAAAGGTGGAGTTTCTCAAGAGAGCCTCGATGTCAGAATAGGATCACGCTGAAAAAAGGCAACATGCTGATTGCTTATCTAGGTTCTCATCGGCAGCCATGCGCCGTTCCTTGCAGGCGATCAATCATCTGTCGTTAGGACAGAAACGATAACTGATCGCGACAATGCTACGTCGCGCTATTTCCCGGAGGGAGCTTTAGATGCAGACCGGTCTCCTGGAAACGGGGAGACAATACCAGTTGAACTCAAAAAAGAGAGGAGGGCTTCTCCAAATGATTGCAGCCTTGACGACGACAATGAATATATCTTTTCTGATGGAAAGGAGGATGATTCACAACCAACTGAATCCGGAAAGGCTCCTCCTGGACAATCAGAACAACGTACAGTTGAGATCCGTGGCCTGCCAGAACGTGCCACCCATCGCGATGTGACTAATGCGGTTCGAGGGGGAGCTCTTCTCGAGATATACCTCCGACCCTATGACCATTCTGCGCGTGTGTCTTTTGTTGAACCATCTGCTGCTCAGGAGTTCCTCAACTACGCAAAGCGCCAGGATGTGTACGTCCATGGCAAGAGGGTAGGTTTACGCCTGACTTTGATAGAGTGGTATGCGGTATTCTAACAAATTTTCTATAGGTCGAAGTTTCGTGGAGCGATCGTCAATTCTACCTCCGGCCTTACATCAAACAGAACACTGACCATGGGGCTTCGCGCAACCTCATGATACGTCGTGTCCATCCTAACATTTCCGCGAGCCTGATTCGAGAACATCTGGAGCATATCCACAATCTCATTGTTATTGACATCAAGTTTGGCCAGGGAAATGCTTACATCTCGACCAATTCCGTCCATAATGCGATGTTTGCCCGCTCATGCATGATGTCCCGTACCACATATCGGGGGATGAGGATCGAATTTTCTCCGGACGAGTGCGCCCAACCTTTTCCCAAAGTACCAAAGACACCACCGAAAAATGAGCCTAAAGCTTCATCTAAAACAGCAAGCTATGCACCAAATCGTTTCCAGATGCTCAGCGTCGATGGATCTGAAAGCTCAGACGACTCAGACAATGACGACGTTGAAGTTGGCATGCCAATTAATTACCGGCCCCTCGATGGTGGTAATATTAACTGGAGACACCACAGCATCGCAGTCTAACGTGAGGTCGTCAGGAGTAGCATACTGAGCTCCATTTCGACTTCGCTGATTGCTCCGATTACTCTCTTTATCGCTCATCAGAAGGATAGGTCGTTTTGCGGACACGCCTTTCTCATCATCCCTTCCCACAAGTCGGGTCAAAATAGTTCTTACATTCAGATGCAACAACTGACTGACGTGGGTTCTTTTCAACTTTTGAGAACCAAGTCAGACCTTCCGATGGCAAATTATTTCTTCAACTGTTCTAAATAATGACGCCCTGGCCACGCTCTTTTTTTTCCCCTTTTAACTATCCTTTTTTAATCACGGAATTCCCTCATTTATTCCCAAGGAACCTTCTGCAGGAACAAACAACCAAAAGTGGAACCTGCATTGGTGTTTCGAATAATTACTTTTTTTTTGCTTTCCCGGGAACAAACATGACAACATGATGATTTATTTCATGCATTCAATCAGGATTTGTATGAGCGTTAGTGATTAATTAGTTTGAACGTGGCTTTTATATTTCTTTCATTTCATTTTGTTTTATGGTGATAATACCAATAAGAATCAGATAAAAATGAGATTGTGGCCAATATCTTTCGATTCCATTCATTTGCATTGATTCATTCACCTTGCCCTTGCATTATTGCACCTGATCCTACCTTACTATCTACCTACCTAACCCTTCCTTTCATGAACACAAACAAATAAAAGCATAACATAATGTAGCAAAAAAAATCAATCCAAAGTGTGATACGTGATACAGAGCTAAATTTCACGTCAAGTCCAATAAGTACAGTACATAATTTAGTTTAGTTTTTTTTTCCCTTTTAGGTCATTTCATTCCCGTTCAGACGTTCGACATCATTGCTGTGAACATAATAATAATAATCATGATGATAATCATTAATATGCCCACATGCACTTGTAGGCCAGTAACCTGCTCCCCAGTCGATCGTACTCCAGCTGTCCGATCCAGCTGTCGTTCGTCCCGCTCAGCTTGCCGAATACGCTGGCCCCCTTCCACACGACGACTTGCGGGTCCAGATCGCGGGGTGGCGTGCCGATCATGATCTCCTTCGCGTACCCAGGCCGGAGGGCGTGCAGGCGCTCTTCGAGGTAAGCGTGGAAGCCCGGTACGAGGCTGCCTCCGCCCAGTACCATGATCCCGCCGAGGAAATCGCGCATCCTGCGGTCGTCGGACCGCGCAGCGTGCATGATAGACGTCAGGATGGCGTTGTCTAGCGGGAAGATCGGGAGGATGTCGTCGCGTTCCTCGATGGTAGGTCCTCGTGGCGCTGGTGGAAGTGTCGAGGTCTGGGCGCCAGGGACCGGCGTGCTAGCTCCGCCTCCGGCTTGAGGAGTGCTGGTGCCGACCGCTTCTGGGGCTGGGGAGCCCGCAACGGACGAGCGAGGCGTAGCCTCCACATCCTGCACACGACTCAGGGCGTGGAGCTGCTGCGACCGACTCGGTGTGGCTTGCACGTCCGCCGGAGCGCCGTTCGATTGCGGTTCTTCCTGCGATTCAGCGTCTGCGGACGCAGGAGCGAGCGATGACAGAATTTCCGACTGCGCTGCCGACACGGGGTCGTTCGGCTGGCCGTCGTAGATGTCATAGGAACGTGGCAGGAGTTTCCTTCGTCCGTCCAGTTTGTGGGAATTGTCGAAGATGGAAGGCTGGAAGTAGCCCATCGGGGCCAGGAGGACTTCATCATATGCCTTGAAGGTGTACTTCCGCGTGTCTTGGCCAAAGATCCGGAGATGGAAATCAAACGTCTGGACAGAGACGTTCGCCTCGTTCATGGTGCACACTTTCTTCTTGAGTTCCTCGGCCAGCAGGAAGTCGTATCGACGGCACAAGTTGATGTCGGCGTACGGGAAGTGGTCGTACAGCATCATCTTAATGAACGTCTCCGTCACGTCGGCTCCGCCGTATTTCAAATTCACGCGCGAGTTCTCAATGCACATCCCTTCCTCCACACAACAGATCGACGTCTTCTGGGCGCCGATATCAACAACGCAAGCGGAGGTGAATCCCGCACCGAAAGTGGCCGCCAGGCTCTCCTGGATAAAGCATACCCGGGCAAATGCGAACTCTTTCATCAGCATCTCCAATACCTGCGTGACGTAGTTCTTTTCGTAGAGATCTGGAATGACAAATACGCAGGAGTACTGTATCCAGTCCTTTTTGCTTGTCAAACCTAACTGCGACTTGATCGCATCTTCCAGAATCAAGGAAATGTCCAGGAAGAGAAGCCTCTTGCTGCTGTAGTCTTTCTCATTGCACCACCCATGCCGGATGGGCCAGAATAACTTGTACCGCGGATTCGACGTGTCTGGTATCCTTAGGGCCGCTTGGCCAGTGATGTACTCCGGTGCCGGGTCTGGGATTTCGGTCCATTCAACCCGGTGCGGATCGTTATGTTCCGAAATTGTCTCTGGGGGTGTCCTTCGATTGTAGTTAACCACCATTTCCTTTGAGTTTGGAAGCGTCCTCCTCTTGTTCTGCCGCATGTGCGCTTTCAGTTCTGCGGCCATGGAGGTATACTGTGAACTGAACTGTAATGGAAGAGTCAGTAGGAGAAAGATAAACTGTCAAGACACCAGATAGCATACCTCAGGACCAAACATTTTCTCCGGCTCTACGGGCGAGTCATCATCTAATTTCACCCTCTTTGGTCTTGGTTCAGCGCCTTCTTCCTCCGATTCGCTGGCGGACGCCTTTCTCGCTATCACCATGGGCACTGTCTTCGGGAGTGCATCGCTGGCCAGGCCGATCCGCAGATTCTGACTGCCCACGTGGATGACAATCACCTTGGAGCCAAGCGCCTCTGTAGGCGTCTCCTCGGTAGCTTCCTCAGTGTCGCCATCCATCTCCGTTTCCCCATCCACCTCGTGCGACTTTCCTATCGCAAGAGCGCGGTCGCGATCCTTAGCGGTCTTTGCCATACGGTTGCGGGCCTCCTCATTTTGCAGGCGAAACGCAAGAAGCTGGTCGTCTCTTTTGAGATAGTCGCTGTTCGCAAAGAAAATGTGAGCAGAGCCATGCAACAAAGCCAAAAGTTGGGAAGAACATCCGCGATGGCATAAAACCCTCGATTCGAAATGGGTAGACATACGTGTAATAATTCTTCTGGTTGATGGGAGCTATCTGGGGCCAGCTCGATAGCTCCATGTTATTGTCCGTCCGTTCAAGACCTGCGAAGAACAGTTCTGTCAGCAGATTGCGCGCCGCTGGAGGCTCGAGAGAACTGTTCGCTACACACCTTCATCTCGAAGGAGGGCCTTGCCCGATTTCTTGCCCACCATCCTGCGTGCTTCTCGAAAGGCGTCTTGTGCGTAGGTGCCGATTGAGATTCGATCCGCTCGCTTGAACGAAGTGATCAAAGGGAGAACTTCGCGACTGGAGGAACTTGGGCGTAGCACACTAGCAGGAGCTTATCTGCTGTTGTGTTCAGAGGGAAGGCATCCTTTTCAAAACCCCGCTGAGATGACTGGATTCTGTGGCGGATAACGGAAGAACCGCCACAAAAATCGCGACAATGGCGGGTTGAGAGCGCGATCAGTCGTCTACTATTCACGCTGCTTCCATCCCGAACAACTGCAGCTTGGGCCAAGCCGGTCGGCCAATCCTGGCCGCCAATCCGGAGCCAAGCCTGGCTGGATGCGGTCACCATCGTTAATAATATCAACCACTCCTTTTCTTGACAGCTCATCTGCATTGTCTATCGCCTGCGAATTTCCCCTCTGATTGTTGATGACTTGATACCTACGTGTCCTAATGAATGTAACGGCAGTTCCTCCCCGTATCTAGTTCTCATCCATCCCCCAAGTCGACATCTTGCGCATCGGCCTGTTAATAACACATCAGAGCTTGTCTTCGGCGTTGGAGAAGACCATCTGAGCTTCATTCACGAGTCTGTAGACAGAAGAGAGGGTTTTCACATCATATTCTTACAATGGGAGCCTCGTTATCTCGACTCTTTTCATTGTTTTGGTCCAAGAAAGAGATCCGCATCTTAATCCTGGGTCTTGTAGGTCATCGATCCATAGACACGCGACCTCTTGTGAAATTGGGCATGAGACTGATACGTGCACTGATGACTGCAGGATAATGCTGGGAAGACGACACTATTATACAGACTGAAGGTGTGCAATAGACATGAAGTTTGCGAGGGACCCCGAGTCGCGCAGAATCGCTAACTCCACCTGTTCGCGTGTATTTAGATCGGCGAAGTGGTAACGACAATTCCAACCATTGGGTTCAACGTCGAGTCCGTGACTTATAAGAATCTGCATTTCAACGTTTGGGTACGTTCAAACTCTACAGCCTCTGTCCAGAAACACGACACGGGGTCAATCCATAACAGGTCGAACCTCCCATACTAATGCTGCTGAGTATTCTTAGGACCTGGGAGGCCAAACGTCTATCCGTCCATATTGGCGATGCTATTACGCAAATACGGCAGCCGTCGTCTTCGTCATAGACTCCACCGATGTCGACCGGCTAGGGATCGCCGCGGATGAGCTGGCAGCCATGCTGAATGAGGAGGAACTTCGTGACGCGGCACTTCTGGTGTTCGCCAACAAGCAGGATCAACCTGGGGCCAAGGGCGCAGGCGAGATATCAGAGGCATTGAAGCTGGGAGAACTGCGCGACCGAAACTGGAGCATCGTTGCCTGTTCTGCTATTGACGGCAAGGGCATCAACGAAGGCATGGATTGGTTGGTGGTAAGTTTGCCGCCCCAGAGACTCGGCCCCTGCATCGGGTCTATATTCGCCTGCCTTTCATCAAAGGTGTTGGCATAGTTTGATGCTGATTCCTCGTAAAATAGCAAACCCTTCAATCGGAAAACGCGTGAACGCGGGCGTACCTGGTGTCGTCGGATGACTTCAGCGTCATTAATATCCTCTGGCTGCTTTTGGTCCTAGAGCCTGACTCCTTTTCATCTATCTCTCATGTCGTTTCGGGTCACCGTATAAGCCCCTGTCTTTTAATATATCTGTGGTGTTCTTGGTTCTGGTTCGACCAGCCCGGCTTATCGAATATTTTTAATGAATCTTGATATATATCTTTTAACTACTAGCGATGAGCAATATCCACTTCTGCAGCAAACCTTTATTCTCCATTCTGATTGTCTTGGAGCAAGAAAGCAGGGCCTTTTGGTGTCTCGGGTGCTGCGGGTTCGTTTCTCACAGCTAGATTGACATGAAATAGAGCTAGATCGACGGGTCCAATTTCGTGTTGTTAGCTGCATCAGTTCCGTCCGGTGGGCTGTATGGGAGGATACGCATAGAACGCAGACGCTACGTGACCTTGGCATTTGTTAGCTTGCATCGGCATCCCGAGTACTGCTAAGTACGACAATACAGCAACGGCCCGTTCCAGTTAATAGGACTTGATAGAAGAGTAATCATCCGCGCAAGAAGGGTTTCATTGAATCCGACACGTCACAGAGCTCAATTGTTCCTTTTGTGCCTCCACTTGTCTTTCCTCGTCCCTTTTCTTTCACTCTCTCATACTTTTACAGAGGTCACCATCGTAGGCAATCTGCGGAGATCATCCAGGAACGGCGTATTACAAAAGGCTAAGTGCTCATTGACGATTCAGAAGCACGTGCCTATCACATGCTGGAACTGCGCTGAGATCGATACGATTATTCGAATTGTTGAGCAAGCCTGTCCAAAACAGGAAGAGGCGCGACTAGACACTAGAATTGGTGGAGAAGATACAATCGTGGTTAACTAGTCAACTGGACACATACTCAGATTGAATTTGTTGAGAATATCGATTTGAAAAAGCATGTGAAAGTCACGGAATCGTCCGAAGTCGGAGGGTCCAATCACCCCCATACGGAGTAAGGTGTACTGTTCCTTTTCCTCTGCCAAGTATTTTCTCGCCATTAATGTTTATTATGTTTATCGTATGTATTGGATATTGTTTCCGCGCTGCTTTCTTCTTTTCTGATGGATCCTGAACATCTAATGGAACCGTGCAATTGCAACAATAAGGGTCCCTGGGAAACAATCACGTGCATCTGAGGTATCTCTCTGCTGCGCTCCAGTTCTTCGGGACAACGGAACCATTATTGACTATTGTAATCGGGTAAAGAGAAAGAAGACATCGGTCTTCTCCAGCAAGTTAGTAGCTCCTCTTTCACTCCGGAGTCCCGGATGTTAGATAAGTTAGATACTAGTTAATCCGGCGTATGGAGTAATTACGGAGTACGGTCGATCCTGTCGAAGAAATGAGACTAGCCCGATTGTCCTATCACCTGCTATCGACGCTATCGCCAGGGGCAGACGGCGGGCAGTCACGAGTGGCCACTTTTAGGCTGCTGCACGGGACCTCCGCCAGCGATGCGTCTCCGATGCAGTCGGGGTGTCGTGGCAGCACCCGCGCCTGTGATTGGCTCCCGCAGAGAGAGCTTCCGGCAAGCTCAACCGCCAAGCGCGCATATCGACGGTCTCCACGCCCACTGGGGCAGTCGACGCTGGCACGCTCCATCCAGACCATTGTTGCACATGCCGGAGACACGCTCTCCTACTTGATAGATTTTTTGTTGGGATTTCTCCATGGGCACGATGGAGGCCTTGCCAGCCAGGTCGATACGGCTGCTTCTCTCGATCGATATAGCAGAGCCAGGCACCAAACCCGCATCTTCTTCGGGACTAACCCACGCATCCTCTGGGACTAAACCCGTCGCGTGCTTTCAGACCCGTCCTGTTCGACATGGCAAGCCCAAAAGCCGCTCCTTCTGAACCGGCGACATGCATGTGTCGCCCTGATAGGGCATCGTGGGATGTCTCGTACTTTGTATGGATCGTCCTCAGCCAAATCCTCTGAGCAGAGGGGCATGGTGGGGCAGACCTACGATGCTTGCTTACTCCAGCATATACTTGAAGGTGCTCTACCTTCACGAGCCCGTCTTCTTTCCTGTCAATTGCTTCTCTTCAGCATCTTCATCGCTCGTGGCGTTGTTCACTTCATAGTACGCTCAAGCACTCCATCACGATGAGTGTAGTTGATACGCTTCACTCAAAGCTTGGCCTACAAGGCGCAGGCTCCCCTCATATTTCCATTGGCATCGCCGCTTTCTTAGTCTGCGCTCTCGTTGCCTCTGTGCTCCTTCTGTCTTTACAGAAAGACAAGGCTGAGAATGTAATCGTGACTTATGCGAAGTTTGTGTATGCGAGTTTCTTGAAACCTCACGAGCGTGATCGAGGCGGTGAAGGCGGCCAACAACATGCACTGGAGAGCTTTTACCGAAGCCAGGTACGCGTCGACAAGCAGGCTCATCGATCAATCACACGCTGATGGTGACAAAAGGCAAGCGCTTATGATGCGACCCGCAAGACACTGCTCCGTGGTCGCGAGGATATGCTCGGACTTTTGGCTGCCCAACTTAAGTTCAGAGAGGTGCAGAACAAGCTCTCTGCTGGAAAGCCCGTATGGGTCGACGTAAGTGCTTCTGTACGCTGGTGGCAGTCAGTTATCGCTAACCGGTTCTAGATTGGTGGAGGAACTGGGTATGTTCCCCGTACGTCCTAAGATGCGCCCAATTCTGACACTTGGACAGGTACAATATCGAGGCAATGAACCAATTCCTTCCCGTGGAAACCTTTTTCTCTCACGTGTACCTGGTGGATCTTTCTCCATCTCTTCTGGAGGTCGCGCGGCAGAGATTTGCACGTCTTGGTTGGAAGAATGTCACCGTGGTTTGCCAGGATGCCCGCGAGTTCCGCCTCCCGGGTGTGTCGGAGAACGGCGCATCCAAGTCCCAGGAAGGAGGTGCTGATCTGGTGACTATGAGCTACAGCTTGTCGATGATTCCAGGTATGTCCTCTATGGCTATCAACGTATCTTTATACTAATAAATGCAGACTATTACAGCGTCGTTGATTCCTTGACCAAGCTTCTGAAACCGACCGGTATCATTGGAGTCTGTGATTTCTACGGTACGCTTGCCGAATTATGACCGTTCTGCCTTCTTGCGGCTAATTGGCGATTATAGTGCAAAGCATCGTTGACGTCTCGTGCCGAAACTACACTGGCGGCGTCTTCAACCGGCATGTCAACTGGCTTGGACGGGTGTTCTGGCGGGCGTGGTTTGATTTTGACCGCGTTGATCTGGAAGCTGCTCGTCGAGACTACCTCGAATACCGCTTTGGAACGATCATTTCGGCGAGCGGGCGAAACTATCTCCTGGGAGGAATACCCTACTATATCTTCCTTGGATGCCAGAAAGACATCGCGTCGAGCAATTCAAGCCGCGAGGCTATTGAAAGGCTGAATGCGTCCTTTACGGAGTCCCCGTACCTGTCTCCAGCAAACCATCGAAAGGAGATGAACGATGCTGTCGAACGTGCTACTCCTGAGATCCGGTCCAAAGCCTATGAATCTGCCGTGGTCAACCTGAGCTCCAATCTTCCCCTTCCGTCTACATTCTACCAGAATCACCACTACCGGATTTATTACAACGACTTGCTACCAAAGCACACGCAGTTTAACAACGAATACATCTACGCTTTCAACTGGGAGGACCCTCGTGTCGACCATCGTTTGTTGAACATCACGAGTGATGACGTTATCCTGACCATCACTAGTGCGGGTGACAATATTTTGGACTACTTACAGAAGAACCCCAAGAGAATCCATGCCGTTGACATGAACCCCAATCAGAACCACCTCCTCGAGCTTAAGGTCGCTTGTTTCAGCGCTTTGCCTTACAAGGACGTCTGGAAGATTTTCGGTGAAGGAAAGCATCCCGAGTTCCGTGAACTTCTGATCTCCCGGCTCAGCCCACATCTCTCCAGCCAGGCTTTCCAGTACTGGCTAGACAATACCAATGTTTTTACGTCCAAGTCTGGAAAGGGCCTTTATGAGACTGGCGGATCACGACACGCGATTAAGCTTGTGCGATACTTGTTCACGGTGTTTGGCCTGTCGGGGAAAGTCAAGAAGTTCTGCGAGGCCCCGACTCTGAACGAGCAGCGGAAAATGTGGCCGCAAATCCGAGGTGTCTTGCTGAGCAAACTTCTCAACTGGGCTGTGGTTGGAACGGAATGGTTTGCCTGGAAGGCCGCCGGAGTCCCACCGGCTCAGAGAAACATGATCATTGACGACTACCTCAAGAGAAAGGGCCTTAGCGGTGTGAAGAAGGGTTCGGACGTCAGTGGTCGGGCTATCCGGGAATATGTAGTCGATACGTTGGATCCCGTTGCCAAGGAGACTCTGATCAGCAACGACAATTACTTCTACTACCTGTGTCTCCAAGGACGCTACTCGCGAAGGTAAGTTATATATCCTGCTGATAACTTTGCATTCTTCAGTAGCTGACTGGGTCTAGTTGTCACCCAACATATTTGACTCCTAAGGCTCACGTCAAACTGTCCGCTCCTGGAGCCTTTGACGGTCTCCGAATTCACACCGACGGGCTTGATGAGGTTATTTCACGCATCAAGCCGGGAACTTTGACCATTGCAGTGGTAAGTGCGGGGTGTTCGATTCCAGCTCTCCTTGATTAGCGCTCACAAGCACATCATAGGTGATGGATTCAATGGACTGGTTCAACCCCAAGGAAGATGCTGCAGCGAAGCAGGCCCGAGCTCTTAACCGTGCCCTGAAGATCGGCGGCCGCGTCTTGCTGAGATCCGCGAGCATCGAGCCATGGTACATCAAGGACTTCCAGGACAACGGCTTTACTCCCCGTCGTGTGGGAGCCAGATTCCCGGGATCATGTATCGACCGGTAAGTGGGCCTTTGATCTGAGACCAGCCCTCTTCAGGAACTGACGGAGGACGCAGGGTGAACATGTACGCCTCTGCTTGGATTTGCACGAAGACCACAGAGGTGGACGCCAAAAGCTCGGATCCTCCGCGTCCAGTGAGCGGTACCACAATTGGACGATCGAACAGCGTTGACCACCTCGAGATTTAAATTTTCTGATCTGCCCTCATACATATACCCACGTCTCTTCCTATATTATTAAGGAGTCTCACGCTGCTTTTAGATGGTGTTTTCTTTTGGCATGAGTTTCATTTGCAATGAGTTGATATCGATTTTTCTTTCCTTCTTGTACATACTTATGGATGATTCTTTTGCTTTTGGTTAATGAAGATATCCGCATAGTATAGCTAGTCTCTGCTTCTTACACAACAAAAAGTTGACCGTTGTCAAAGTTATGTGATTCGCAACGAGATACCCTTTTTGTACTGCAGTTATTTTGTGACGCTTTGGCTTTGTTCTTACCATCAATTTCCTTACCTGATCTTCTTGCAAGCAAGAGAATTAATTTCCAGGTTCACTCAGGCGGCAGGACATCAGTCTAACTCGGAGAAATCGAGCGCTAGCCCGACCTGAGCAAATTTTCAGAGAAAAAAACTGATGAAAGACGGCAGGAAAGTTCTGTACATTGATTATTATTTTTATTTTATTTAAAAGTCATTTATCCATCTATGTCATCAAAATATCCATCCTCGGTCCTCATCTTAGAATAAGGAAATAACGAACAAAACAGAACAGCACAGGAAAAAAAAACATGCAAAGAGATTAAAAATAATAAGACGATAATGAACATTCATGCCACAGGAATGAACAGCAATGGCACTAGATTTAATTGTACAGTATAACGAATCAGATTGATATTCATATTTTTTCTTCCCTTTTCCCTACCTATCCCCCTTCCCCCTACCGAGAATCCAATCCAGATGCACATTAGGTTAATCGGTTTAATAAAAAGCTTTTATAGTAAAATAAAAATTCACGTGAGAAGGAGAAAGGCAAAAAAAAGGGGGGAAAGAGAAAAAAAAGACTTGGCATTCATCGTTGACAGTAGGCCTGTCGGATTAAAAAAAAATGACATCGATAACTGGTCGAGTCGCTGCAGAGCAGTGACCTAAGCTTAGCTGGGAAGTCCGGATTTAGCGTTAAAGAAAGAAAGGAGCCGCTTGCTCTCATTGTTTTTTCCCGGGCCTAGTTCAGTTCGTTCGTCATTTCTTTTTAATTCCGGCCATATCTCGTCTTTCCAATGGTGAAGGGGACATAGCGGTATTTGATCATGTGCTGGATCTGTCGTCGCACTGGTAGAAGAGAGGGAGCAATAATCAGTACCGTTTGTTTGTTTGTTAAAGGATGACTTTTCGTCAGAACTTACTCGTCAGGAAGAAGAGGATCAGCCAGTACATCACCAGCACCGGCCAAAAAACGGGAATGTCGAAGAAGGAGAACCATGTGCAGACGAAGGCGATAGTGATGGCGCGGGTGGCCGAGTGCCAGAACTTGAATTCGGGAAGCCGTCGGATGAATGGGCGGAACTCGTCGTCCTGCTTCGTCGGCAATGTCGCCTCACCGTCCTCCAACCCTTCGTCTTGAGTGAGGGAGGGGTCGAACTTGGGCTGCAGGAAGGCGAGGAATAGATTCAGGAGGTAGATGGCCAGGGTGTACGCGACTGGAGAAGACACCGTTGGTCAGCATAGTTAATTCCACGCATGAGAAACCCCGGACAGCACAGCATTGGAGAAGCGTGTCCGTACCGATATACCATCCCTGTGCAAGAATAATTCTCAGGAAGAAAATAAACAGAAAAATGGCGGTGCCGATCCATCGGTAGGCCGTGTAAGGTGTGACCTTGTCCAGATAGGCTTGATATTGCTAGAACACATCTTCGTCAGCCAGAGGAACAGAATTGTCGAAGCGGATCCAATCCTCATTTGTGCAATTCACGGTGCGACATCACCACTCCGCTTTCTCTCCCCTCAAAGATCGCGTCACGTCATACTCACCCGGGCAAGTTTTGAAGTGTGAGCCGTCACGGCGGTAAAAGGAGTCTGCTCCGGCTCAGCAGCGTCCATTGTGTGTACAACACAAAGCAGGTGATGCCGAGACCTAAAAGTATGTCCAGGGTAAGAAGAAGGGCTCCTGAGATTGTCAAGATCGCGCAGCGCAGCTGACTTCCAGCAGCGATTGTGCGTGTACGACAAGAGAACGAGTTGACAGCTCACTGGCAGACTGGCTGGCAGACTGACGATGGCCGGCTCCGGCCTTCCTAGCGTTTTCCTTTTGCCGTTAACGAAAAGTGTCCAGAGCGCCTGTACCGCCTCATCGTGCTGCACCGCCACATGCACGCCATAACCTGCACCAGCCACTACAGTCCACCATTCCATGCACGTGAATGGCCTGCCATGACTTAACCAGATTTAGTTAGAGCGGTATCTGATGCAAACAATGCAAATACAGTCCACATGTATGGAAGACTCACGTGCCCGGTCGGGTGGCTGCGGCTTACCTCGGAGCTCGGTCGGGGATCCGCGGAGAAGGGTTGCGGGGAGTGTTTATTGTCTGGGCAGCTCCCAGCAAGACGATAAATTATATCACAAACGAACGTCTGACCCAATTCCAAGTTCTGAAGGGTAAACCCGAGCAGAAGTCGAAAGAATTCCTTCCATTCAGCCGTTGCTCTCATCATGTTCTACTCGCGGTGTTCGCGACTGGTCGCCTCCAGCACCGCCCGTCCCTTGACATCATACCTGTCGAGGGTTGGCCGGCGCTACTCTTCCGCGTCTCCTGCTTACGAGTACATTCTTACGGAGAGCCCCAAACCAGGTGTTGGATTAAGTGAGTAGTTTCGAGAGACAATGAGTGCATGCATGTATGCATACTCTGAAGCTATGGCGGCTGACTGAGTTCTGTCTGTCTCTAGTCACTCTGAACCGCCCCAAGGCCCTCAATGCTCTGTCGAGCCCTCTGTTCAAGGAATTGAACGATGCCCTCACCAAATACGATGAGGACAAGGACATTGGAGCCATTATCATAACCGGCAGCGAAAAAGCTTTTGCTGGTGAGGAATTCCCCTACCAACGATTTCGAGTATTATTTTCGCATACTGATAGGCCCATGTTCTCTGAAAAACAGCCGGTGCGGATATCAAGGAGATGGCCCCCCTGACCTTTTCGTCCGCCTACTCCAACAACTTCATCGCGCCCTGGTCCCATCTGGCCAACAATATCCGGAAACCGGTCATTGCGGCCGTCGCGGGATACGCTCTCGGTGGAGGGTGCGAACTGGCCCTCATGTGTGACATCGTGTACTGCACCGCCAACGCGACGTTCGGCCAGCCGGAGATCAAACTGGGCGTCATCCCCGGTGCCGGCGGTTCGCAGCGCTTGACGAGGGCGGTTGGGAAGAGCAAGGCGATGGAACTCATCCTGACGGGGAAGAACTTCAGCGGCAAGGAAGCCGGCGAGTGGGGTGTCGCTGCCAAGGTGGTTGACGGCGGCAAGGATGAGCTTCTGGAGGAGGCCATCAAGACGGCGGAGACGATTGCCAGCTACAGCCGGGTTGCTGTGACGGCCGCCAAGGAGGTCGTGAACAAGAGCCAGGAGCTTGCCCTGAAGGAGGGTGTCGACTTTGAGAGACGGCTGTTCCATGGCCTGTTTGGCACCCAGGATCAGAAGATCGGTGAGTTTTCTCTCTTATTGGTAAACATAAATATATATAGTAAGCGACTAATCCCGTGTCCAGGTATGACTGCGTTTGCGGAGAAAAAGAAGCCGGAATGGACACATGAGTAAATGTAATATATACTTTATCTATTATTTACAGAAAAAATTTTATGATATTCCGTACGTGTCAGGTTAATGGCTCAGTTCAAGAGCATGTATCATCACGAGTAGTTTGTTGATCTATACTCGAAGTAGGTTCTTGCTGTAGCTATCGACGTAGCCACAAATATAATGCAATCTTGAAACTATCTGTCCTACTCAGATGTGATACATGTGCATGTATGCATATGCGTATGAGTTGAATTGCGCTGTCTGTAGACTGCTTAACAGACGCTAATTCCAAGGAGATTAATTAATTGATCAATTAGGTGCATATTTTCTTTTTTTTTTCTTCTTTTTTTGATGGCGACGAAAGCTACATAACTAACCACCAAATTGCAAATAGAAATTCTATAAGAGAAACAAAATTAGGTAGCATTCAAGAATACACGACTTAGTACTCATAAAGTTCTCACGTTAGCTCCTATATGTGTTGTGTACATACCTGCCTAAATTTAGCTCACCGGTTTTGCGGGGTAAGACCGTATGGCGTACAAACTAACAGACTAAATAACACTCCTGGTATTAGTTAAAGTCTGTCCTAGAATTGCAACATACAAACTAAAGGAATTCTAGAAAAATATAGTTAAAAATATACAACCTATAGTATAATCATCCCCTGATCCGATTGGATCTGATCACATCACTTCTCGTCTGGTCTTATCATGCCTTCTAAGAACGTGATAATGAATAAATCTATATATTTCCTAGTTAGGTACTAGGAAAGACGTACGTATTTACTTGATATACGATGTGTGTACATTTAAATAATTTAGTGAATCGTTACTTCCCGCGCATTTATATCAAGTTGTGTGGTAATACCGGTTTATATTTCGTTCCTTTCTCATCACTGCGTTACATTACTATGTGATCACTGACTTACGGTATCATAAGACTCAGTCGAACAGACATTTCAATTGCTAAAAGAACGAGGTATCTCATGAAATTCGCTGATATCAGAAAAAAAATTCCCAATTTCTTGTCCCAATTTCATTTCACAAGTAATAACAATTTCCTATCTCTTAAAGGATGTCACCAGCATTCTTGCTACATAACACAACTTGTTGATAACTTCTTACAAACGCGCCGCAGGGGTATCCTTCGCCAGGGCCTCAGTAGCCTTCTCGATCCGAGCACCCAGGTCCTTGTTGATGCGGTAGAACATCTCGTACGTCTTCTTGCGGACCTTCTCATGGGCATTGCACAGGTGAGTAGACACGTTCTTGACGAAGTTCTCCTGCTGGCCAGGCTGGCGACCAAGCACGTGCCAGAGGGCGTTGGGCTGCACAAAGTCCTCGTCGGTGACAGGGAGCTGCGCGGTAACAACCGAGCCGACCCATTTCTCATGCTCCTGGCTTGCCTTGACCGGGCGGTACGTGAGGGGTCGGAAGCTGGACGGGTAGTTCGGGTTCGCGCCATAGTTGCCGTTCACATTCATCGCGCCGTCACGCTGGAAGGGGTTGAACGCCTTCAGCGGGCAGTTGACGGGGATCTGCTGGTAGTTGACACCCAGGCGGTGGCGGTGGGTGTCTGGGTACGAGAAGAGACGAGACTGCAGGACCGGGTCGGCCGAAGGCTCGACACCAGGGACCATGTGAGAGGGCGAGAACGCCACCTGCTCGATCTCAGCGAAGTAGTTCTGAGGGTTCTTGTTCAGAGTGATCTTGCCAAAGCGGCGCAGCGGCACCTCTCCCTGAGGCCAGACCTTGGTCAGGTCGAAGATGTTCCAGCGGAACTTCTCCGCTTGCTCAGGGCTGAGAACCTGGACGTAGCAGGTCCACGATGGGTACTCGCCTCTCTCGATGGCGTTGAACAGGTCCTGCGTGTGCCAGTCAGGGTTGGTCCCTGCCAGCTCGATCGCCTCTTCGTTCGTGAAGGTCTTGTTGCCTTGGTCGGTCTTCACGTGGATCTGGACGTAGTTAAAACTGCCATCGGGCTTGATCCACTTGTACGTGTGGCCTGAGTAACCGTTCATGTGGCGGTAGGAATAAGGAGTGCCACGGTCGCTGAAGAGGTGCATCACCTGGTGAGCAGACTCCTGGTGGGTGGACAGGTAGTCCCAGAACATAGTCGCATCTTTGAGGTTGGTCTGAGGGTTTCTCTTCTGCGTGTGGATGAAAAGAGGGAACTTGGCTGGGTCGCGAAGGAAGAAGACAGGGGTGTTGTTGAACACCCAGTCCCAGTTGCCCTCCTCCGTGTAGAATTTGATGGCGAATCCACGGGGGTCACGAGCGCTGTCAGCAGAACCCTTCTCACCACCGACGGTGGAGAAACGCGTGACGAGCTTCGTCTTCTTGCCCACACCCTTGAGCATATCAATGACAGTCTGAGCAAGTACAGTCAGCCTCTTCCTTTCCTGGTCTGTTGGCAGGGATTTCAACCCACAATGTCGCTGATATCGTCGGTCACCTCGAATTCACCGTATGCTCCAGCGCCCTTAGCGTGGACGACACGCTCAGGGATCCGTTCTCTGTCGAAGTGGGCAAGCAAGTCGATCAAGTGGAAGTCCTGCAGCAGGAGAGGTCCATTAGGACCAACTCGCTGGGAGGCTTCCGGGTCGAAGACCTAGCTCATGTCAGTACGAGTCGAGTCCTAATGTACTGTGATTGGTAAAGACGAACCGGACAGCCATTGGATGTGGTGTAGACAGGCTTTTCGTTGTAACGGTAGGTCTCTGAACAGTCGCAGTCAGTAGATGTTGCTGACAAAGACCTTACTCGTATCTCTTCGGGCTGTGGCTACAGAGCAAACATACTGGGCTCGTCGTCGGCACCCATGGTTGGCTATCACTACTAGGTGCGGTGTATCTAGCTAGAAAACACAGGTTTTCAACTCCAGCAGATGGCTTCTGCAAGAGGGGATGAAGCTTCGATAAGAAAATGAGAGGACGGCTCGGTCGGATACGGATAGCTCGAGGGACTGGGGATTATATATGGGAAACCACATTGCCTGGGGTGGGGTAGGGAAGACAACAGTTTGCCATGGAGAGGAGGGAGAGAGTTCCATGCGTTCCGCAACCAGCCTTGTCTCTGCATGGATCATCGAGCCCATTGGGGTTAAGCCTGTGGGGAGTGCCCTGTCTGCTGCAAGATGCCTCGCTGAATAGGGATCAGGCGATTTCAAGGATGCCCTCTCTCATAGCTGGACTAAGAGTATCAGTGTGGTCTCGGGGAAATCGGGATGGTCCTGATGCCGCCTCACCATCCTTTGAGGAGAGAAGCTCGACGCTGGCGACCAATCGACGATCTCCTGTCGACTGGGGTAGCGTATCCAGCGCCGCAGACCGTCCTCTTGCTTTCTCCGCATCAACATGGGCTGGTACTACCCCGCACAATGTGGGACCTAGCTGTGCCAATCGCAGGCCTGGTGAAGGTAATACATTGGCCGATGAGAATGGCCACAGATGCTTGTTGTCCGCATACATACGGGGACATGAGGAGCAGCTCACGCCGCATCCTGGGAGGAGAAGCATCAAACGATTGGCTTCGTTGGAGACGATTGTGTCATACAGCTCTCCAGACCACAATTTCTTTGTCAGCACCCCGCAGGGAGGAGGGCCAAGTCGAGCGGTGGACTGTTAAACATAGGGAGAAGTCCAGGGTCTCGACCTCATTGCTGACATACCTACGAGCATCGTTTTGATTATTTGGCAAGCCACTCATTGGACAGTCACGCTAATTGCGCCAATTCACCCAGGCTTCGACGTCAAGTTGTTGGGAGCTGGCGAAGATTAATCGGAATTCGGAACCCTCCGACAGCGGGAAGCTCACGGAAGAGACAACCCCAACGATTTGTTTCGCGGCTGGTTCATTGCAACCACAGAATCGAGCAGGGGTCGCTTCGTACACTCTTATGTCAGTATTGTTCAGGCTAAGTTCAATGTCCGCAGTGTTCTATATCCAGAGCTCTGTACCATGTTCCAGTTCAACAGATACAAGGTCTATCAATCTGATCAACCAGTCCCGAGATTAGCTCGAGAGCGGAGTGCGGCGGGTACCTGTACCCCACATCAACTAAATTTCCCCGAATTGCTGTTAATTTCGGTTCCAGCCAACCTGGGAGCTTGCCTGGGTACCTGAGGTGTCTCCATATGTCACGTGATATACTTCCGCATGGCCCACTCTCTGTTGACGTCAGTTGCAGTCGCATGGACCTTCTCTTTTAAGTAGCCAATTAGAATGTCAGCCAGCGACAGAGATAGATGTACTTGGATATCGATTGTTACTTGACTCACCAAAAAATACAAGAGATACGGGAGACAGAAAAAATATTTAAGGAAAGAAGGAAAAAATTCAAAAAAAAAATAACGTCATAAAAAATATTTGTTTTCGACCCGAGATGGTGATTCACTGTTTTTGTTTCTTCCTTTGATGCAATTCAATGTTCCCTTTTCCAAACTCTTTACTCATATTATTTTATTCTTCTTCTCTTTCTGGCAACTTTTCGAACTACTACCTCCAGGTTCCTCTGACGTGACAATGGATCCCAGATCCATACTCCTTCTGCTGGCAAGGACTCGCCCGTCGGCTTTCCTCTCTCATACCGTTCCAGTGAGCCATTGATGCCAACAACACCCCATACGAATACTGCCACATCGCGAATGGTTTCCAAAAAGCTTTGAGAATGGGCGCCGCCCTTCGATAAACTGTTGTTCGATTCTCCGGACGGAGGAGTCGCCGCCGGATCGGATATCGCACTGGCCGCACATGAGCTATTGTATCTCGGATATATACTCTGGTGCATTGGTCGTGATGCCGGCGGAGTTTCGTCCCAATGGTTAACGGGTTCACTCGAATACGGTTGAGGGAGGATCGGATGGCTTGCCCACGGCGAGGCGAAAAGCCCACTGGCGTATACAGGTCCTCCACGAGCCTGCTGAATAAGGTATGGAATCGGAGGCCGGGCCCGTCGGAGCACAACAACGAGGCCGTCTGAAGTGCAGGAGACAACGGCCTCGACTTCAATTGGAGATGCTGAACTTGAGTATCGCTGATCCTTCGAGCTGCCGCCTCCATGCTGGACGTCTGGCAGTCGTTGCGCTGTGGGGGAAATACCGGGGTCGGCTGCTACATCATCCTGTAAAGGATCTCGATACCAAAAGCGTAAGTAAGCGATCGAGTTATTCGCCTTTGCACTCTCAAGACAGTGCACCGCATCCTTGAGACAGTCCTCTTGAATGCAGTAATAGAAACTCTTCGACACCAGCTGCCGCGGGGTGACTCCCAGGATTTCGGTGACTCCATTCGTTGCAAACATGATCGTCAGCGTTCGCGTAAAACGGTTGAGGAACAGAGCGGCACGGGGCTCAGGCGGTAGCGTCCGTGGTAATTGAGAAGATTTACTTGATATGTAGGTGAGCATGTGGTAACGAGGATCCCGTGGCGATGATGTGAACAATCTTCGGATAATGGGAGCATCGGCAGCTCTTTCTGGAATAGATAACAAAAAGTGTTAGTCAACACATTCGAAAAAGACATCGCGTGTTTCTTCTTTCACCAAAGCATAGGTTCCAAATGTATCATCACTTACTTTGGCTGGACGCTCCTTGCCGATAAATGCTCGTGCTGGCGACCAGGACATCGTACACGACAGAGAAGACACATTCGCAACAGACCCACGAGCCATTTTTGTGCCTGATCCGGCAGTATTTCAACACAGCAGCTTTATCCAGCCGCACACCACGGCCGTGGATACTTCTGGCGAACGGAACCTCGTCAGGGTGAAAATACTCCCAGCAGGACTTGTTGACCACCTCGTGAGGCAGATAGCCAAGGATGTCCTCAATCGAATCTGATGCATAACGGATACAAGCATCCTGGCTCAAATCTGCCTGTTCGCATTAGCCTCCAAAGGATAGAACAAATCCGTCGTCTTCCGGGACGGGGGAGCTTGCCGTGGATAGAAATAAAAGTGATATCCATAATCGAGTAGATTTGCAGACGACAAAAGCAAGAAATATATCCTGATCAATTTGAGGGAAGATGAAAAATTTTGACAAAAGGCTGGGAGCATCTATTATATAGCATGTGATCTGCGCCAGTTACCCAAACCTGGGTATGACGTACTGTACAAGGTACCAGCCAAGTGGAACTGGTACCAGATGCTAACGAAAAGGCGAATCCAGGACCTTCACCCTCAGTTTCATCTCTTCAAACGAGACCTCAGAGACGGACTGGGTGTTATCGAGGTCCAGGGAAATGAGGGGCATATATTAGCAGTTCGTTTCCTGTCAAGCATCGCCGTGAGCTGCAGTGTCGTACAAGGAAGGAGTCCAGTTATGAGCTAGCGACCAGGTTGATGCACCCTCGGCCGTTGAAGAAATCTGATTCGTGCTTCCGTCAAGAACTCCCACTTTTGTTACGCCGTTTTTGGTCATGACAGAAAATACATCGCAACAATTAGGTAGAGACTCTAATTGTCAGAGTCCTTTTTCTTTGAGCTATCTGGCGTAGCGAACGTTTTTTTTTTCTCTTCGAGTCTGAAAATCTAGATCAATTGAGTAAGGGGAGCGTGAACGAGGTCTTTCGAGTTTCAAGTATAGTTGCTTGGTGCTTCAATCTTTGTCGCACCGACAACTTGCAAACGCAAAAAGACTGGCAAAGAAAAAGTCATGAATTAAATGCAATCTTGACAATTAGTTAATTGTCATAGGTCAGTTTGAAAGCTAGTGGCCGCAGTCGACCTGCGTCAAGCAAACGAATGCAGCCATTCGCAGCACAGTGCGTTCGTACAGTTCCTCCGCACTATTGTGGGGTTTGGGCAACCACCAAGACGTCATGCAGCAAAGCTCCCGGCTGTGGTATCACTTTGCCATGGAGACAACGATTGTTGATTGCTTGCTTGTGCAACTGTTGTTGAAGTTGAAACATTGGATCTGGCTGGACCAGCGGCAGTCAAATTGACCGATTGACTTTGAACTCATTGACTCAATTCATCCCACTACCCGGATCGACTCCAAACGGTACTACCCGAGGTTGAACCCGACTCAAATTTGCTTTCTCCAATCCAACATGCAATCAGATTATCCAAAGCAAATCTGGCTCCAGACAATGTAGCCTTGCAGGGAAACCGAAAAAAGAAGTTGTTACTCTAGTTAAGACAGTAATGCATGTGATCATTCGCTAGATGATACGATGGTATCTAGTAATTCCCTCTGTTTATAACGGCTATCATGCGTCCCGCTTAATGCGCACTGATTTATCCCAATGCAACCGATGCTCCGAACTGACCTCTTGAACAAACCAGAGTCGGGTAAACCAAAAGACAAATCCTTGCATGCTCCACATATCTCAAAATCTGTATAGACAAAAACGGTGACAACGCCTCAGGTATCGACATTACAATGAAGCAAAAAAAAAGTACCTCTTATGGGGTACTCTTGACGCAAACTTTGGTCTCACCTCGCGGACAAACGGCACCAAAGGTCAAGACGGATAAGATAGGACCATCTTCTCAAGGGGGAGATCTATTTCTGCGGAGGCTGAGCTGATGCAATGGCATGATAGTTGGAGATGGTGGATTGAGAAGAAGCTAGGCGTTTCACATGTGTTAGGAGATGGTTGCAGTAGGACCAGAAGCGGCCGTTGCCGTACTTATCGGATCGCGGCAACCGAACCAACCAGGGTTCTTGCACGTTGTAGTTGTGGATGTTGGTGCGACAGTATGTGTGATTGAAGGCGCGGGAGTGGCGGTAGCGGTTGAGGAGGTCGTCGTGGGATCTTTGCACCCGAACCACCCCGGAGTCTTGCAAGTAGAAGTCGTTGTCGTTGAGGTGGTCGTAGGGATTGACGTAGTGGTCGTAGTGGTCGTAGTCTCGTCCAAGCAACCCCACCAGCCAGGAGTCTTGCAGGTCGATGTTCTTGTCATTGTCGTCAAAGTCGCAGAGGTAGTAGTTGTAGTGGTTGATGTGGATTCAGAGCCATTGCTTCGGAAAAACTTCCAGAGTTCACAGTCGTAGCATTCCTCCTCCGGTGCGCACGCTGGAACCGTGTCGTATGCTTCCAGGACATCGGTTATCACCGATTTGATCCGGTGAGTCCCAATTCCAACCCTCCATCCCTTGTCTTCGACCGTATCATAGACGCACATCAACCCGGTATGGCATGCCGATTCCATGGCGTACCCACCCCATGTGCAAACGGAGCTGGCACCATTGCAAGTCCCCATAAATACTGGATCTGCAGTATGTCCAAAATGATATGCGCCGGTGTATTTGCGCGTTTGGGGGCGCCTAGGATCGTGCCCCGGCGGAGCAGGGAGACCCAGTCGGCCGGCTGGCAAGGCTTCTGGAACCGCCTCAAATGTAACAACAGGGAGTCCAAATGTCAGACCCAGCAAGCTGGTCATTGCACCACCCAGGGAATGGCCGGTCAGCCAAACCTCAGCGTGTGGGTAAATCTCGGTCACATTGGTATACAGATCGATGGCAGCCCGATAATATCGGTGTTCATCGAGAAGAGCTTCAATGATGCAGGTCAAGTTGCCCGTATATGCAGCTGTCTGGCAGTCGCACACTTGCCGCCACAGATACGAGCCTCCTTGGCCGCAACAACAACTGAAATAAAGATTGTCGTTGATCTTATCATTTGTAGTGGTACCAGCCCCATCGAACAGAGCGGGTGAGGTCCCCTTCAGCGAAATGACTATCGTGCTGTTTGTTTCATCAGCGTATATGTGACCCCTCAAGCCATCACTCTGCCATCCAAAGCTTGAAGAATAATTAAACCGGCCGTTGATATCCTCCCAATCTCCAGTTCCAGGTTCCTCGATATAGTCGTTCAACGTCATCTTCGCAAACGTTAAGACGGTTTCCTTGTCTGTGACATCCGGGCCTGAGATGTCTTCCATAACCCATTCCGATGGTGATAAAGTGGCAGCTACCCCTGACGACCTGGCAAACGCTAGATGGTTTTCGATCACCGATGGACGCCGATCCGCGAGTCTTTGGATTGTCATCGGGTTCGACAATGCAACTAGAGGAGTGGGAGGTTCAGTAAGAGGCTCCGGAAGCCCTGTGTCTTCCGACACCACCCAGAGCCGCGTGTCTGGCTTGACATCGAGTTTTCTGTGGAGTTCAGGGTACTTATATGTTCCGCGGTGATAGATGTGACGTAGGGACTAAGAGGCGGTGAGTATCTAAGAGAGCATATGGGGGTCCTCAAAGACATCATACAAACTGATGTCTGCCCGTGAGGGGCCGTGTATCGTCTCCTTGAGGGACGTTTGGAGGTAGGATGGGAATCTCATCTGATGGCAGGTGATGTAGAGGGTTGAGCGCTGCGACGAGACCCGGGAACCCAGCGCAGATCGTGAGAAGCAGTCCAGCGATGGACTTTGACCGCAAACGACGTCTCGTGGAGCCTTGTGAATGTTCTGTCATTGTGAATAACCGAGTATCAGATAACAGAAATACAGACAGCGTCTATTGATTCGACTCAAGGCGAGCCGGTCAGTATCGGCGTCCGCGATGACGCACGGTTGCGAGTCAGCCGCCTTATCAACCGTATCGCAGGCGGTCAGAGTCGTCTGCGCACGTGACCAATCATCTGAACATGTCAGCTTGGCGCCGAACTTCCCGTTTCGGAGCAGGCCGGACCAACTGACACCGTTGCAGCTAAGGGCGGACATTTGCAGCAGGAAATGCAGGTGGGCAGATAGACCGGGGATTCACACCATTGACTGAGGCGTCATGGACTAATATAATCTCCGTGGAGTCGTGGTTGTGTTTATCAGATCTCTTAATCCCCGTGTTGTCGCTCTCCCGAGTCCCGCTAGCTGCTGGAGCTGTGCACGCGGACCCCACGAATGCAGCCATCTTGAAGACGGTCAGCTGCACCTCACAAAAAGAAGGGACAAGTGGACTGTTGTTCTGAGTGGTTGCAGGATCAACCACTCACAAGAACGATGTCGTCTACGACTCCATCGGAGAATGGGTCTAAGAACCCCAGGGCTCTTCATCCGACTAGGTCTTTTACCAGGATGGAGACGCCGAATGTGAGCCCGTTTGCCCGGACCAGGGCAAAGACAATCCAAACTCTCAATACCCCGGAAACTTTAGATGCGGATAGTCTTCCATTGTCCTCATCTCCGGACCATGACGATGCGTACGAAGGACCGGATATCTTCGAGAAGAGGGATTCGACCGACTCCGACATAGGAAGCGCTGCAGGGCAAAGTGAAGAGCCTTTTGGGCTCCCACGAGGCCTAAAAGATGGATCAGACACGCTTCCAATCGAGTTAGCGAGCTTGTCTGACAGGTACAATTGAGGAATCTGAATTCTTCGTGGATGGAAAATTTCGCTGACACCTCGAATGCGATTAGGTTTGTTGAGTCCTTGAGCGCCAAAACTCACCCTTCTCCTCCTTCGATTGATAAGATTTCGGCGATGTTTCAAGAGTTCTATGTTCGCGCAGAATCCCATATAGCAACGCACATTTCGACACTTGCCTCCCGCATCAATCGGGATGCCTCTCCTTCCAAATCGAACGACGGTGCGGCGGACAAGGCCGGGACAGACCATCAGATGCTCACGGCCTCGGAAGTGACAGAGAGAAGAAAGGCACGGAAACAACTGGCGTACAAGCGGGTTGCGCTAGAAGAGACTGTTGAACGACGCGTGTGCGAGAGCGTTTACAGTAAAATCTGGCGCCACAAAAGTACCTTGGATGAAGTACGAGATGAGAAGCTGCGTTCCAAGACTGCAGCGTTATCATTACTCGGAATCACCCTGAAGGATCTTGGCATCGAGGTCCCTACGACAGATGAAGAGAAGCAGGAAGAAGCCAGCAAACGGCTTTCTGCGGCCCGCGAGAGCCTGATGAAAATGAATGATGAAAGATACCCCCTCGGCAAACTTCAACATTTGATCTCTGCGCACAAAGCAATTGTGGACACTCTGACGATTCTTCTTCCATCCTCATCCTCTGCTGATGAGATCCTACCTACGCTGATTTATTGTCTCATCACGTCTCCGCCGGAAGGAATTAACGTCATCAGTAACCTGCTCTTCATCCAGCGATTTAGATCCGCAAGTAAGATGAATGGCGAAGCCGCATACTGCTTGACAAATCTCGAGGCCGCGATCAGCTTCTTGGAGGATGTAGATCTATCCAGCTTAAATGCAGAAAATACGCCCGATGGCCAGCCAAGACTCTTGAACGCCATGACAACCCCGAATGCAGAAAAGCTCGATCCTCTTCGATCCGCCAAAGAGACCTCGCAGCCAGCGGTAACATCAGCCTCTGCAACCCCTGAGTTCTCGAAGCCCGCGAAGGAAGCAGCCTCTGCCAGTTTACCCAGGGCGCAGCTTTCTGTGCCGTCTGCTCAACAACGACGCCTGAGCAACCTGTTCCAACCCCCCGCCAAGGTCCTGGGCGCTGCTAATGATGCGGTGCGAAATACCGCGGACCAGAGCCTGAAAAATATCAGTAACACCTTAGACAACAGTTTCAATTTCCTTTTTGGCCGGCTCAAGGAGATGCAGTCGAATCAACGAGGTGGACCGGACGGTTCACGGCCAGTGGTCCCTAAGACTCTAGATGAGGCTCGACGCCTTGTCACCAGCCCGAATATCCTCAACGACAAAAGCACTGCAAACGAAGATATGTCGATAAAAGATGATAGATTACGGCCCGAAGATAGACGCAGAGGCCGCGTCGATGGCCGACAGAGCCCTCGAGACAGGAGCGTTGACAGCACCAAGAGCAACGATAGCACGCGGAGACCTCTTGCACCACGCTCAAATTCGCAAAAGGATCAAGCGACCCCAAGTCCAAGCACTGGTGGCTCCATCTTCACCCCCAGCTCTGGCTCCACACCACTGGAGTCGATGAAGAACTTCAGCAACACGTTCAACCCACTGAACCACATCCCCGGGATGATTCGCGGGTTTGGTCGCAGCGCGCCTGAGACGCCAGCAACGACCAATATCCCAGAACGACTCAGACCTTTGGCTTCTTCCACTTCCACTTCCGATCACCCACCATCAACAGAGTTGGCGGGGTTGTCCAAGATCGACCCCCCGATTAAGCGTTTCCTGGAAGTTCAGGACGCGCAGGACCTCAAACTGGGCGAAGTGGCCGAGCTACTGGATGACTATAAAAGACTTGCCACGGCATTACTCAATCTTGGCGTGTTGAATGGGCGAGCTGATCAGTGATCATCATGCCAAAAGTCTGTGTTTTTTCACCTGCATTCCCGATGGCGTTGGTTATCTTTTTAGTCGAGCGGTATGATACTCCGGAAAGGGACGGGGAGCTTCTTTTCTTTTTGTTGTCATTGTAGCTTGAACTCTTGAATCATTCCTTTATTATTCTTCATTTATTATATTCATGGTTTTTTATTCTGTTTCATCGCCATCATCCTAGTCAGTCATAGGCATAGGCACATTGGTGTGTACTGTATGTATGTACATGTACAATATATGTAGTCATGTGTAGACAAAACATGACTTAAAATGAGCTGAGCTGGCTCTTTCTTGCTGGCCCTGACCCTGTCCTCCTCCCTCTCTTTCGGAATTGATCGATATAATGAGGTATTGTAGAATAAACCAGTCGCGCTATGAATGAAACCTTTCAGAAAAGAATACGATGAGACGCCACCATGCATGGAAGGGGGAAACGAAACGTATGCGCTAAAACGATGCTTCTTGGGAAATGACAGGAAAGTTGAAAAAAAAAGGAGTAAATTGAATTGTATGCAATTTGATGCAATTGATGCGAGGGTAGATAGATAGACAGGTATCTATTTATGCGAATGAGAAAGAAGATATGCATAGTCGTGATATCATCAAAGATGAGCGAGAAAGAAAGAAATAGTAAAGGCCGGCGCGCCATTCGTGGCTGGCCATGCTCACCCAGCAAGCAGCAACGTAACTAGTTCCAGAATTTCTGGAGGACGACAAGGGGGGAGGTGGTGGATGTAAAGTCAATGAGCTGCTCCACGCAACACCTCCAATCCCCCCTCTTTCATCTCGGCGAGCTTCCTGTCAAGATCAGCGTTGTTCTTCTGAATTTGTTCATGTCTGCGTTTGATCTCAGCCTCGAACAAAGCTGCCGTCTTGCGACGTGCCTGCCGCGCGTTCTTGATCTTGGTCAGCATGTTGCTGAATTCGGTGATGAGCTGATCGCCAAATTCCTCCCATTCCGTAATGGATAGGCTGGAGAGGTAGGCGTGGCGCTCCGCGTCCGATAGCGTCTGGACATGAGCGACTTTCTCAGCCGCGGTTTGGGCTTGCTTGGACTGAGGTGGAGATGATGGCTCTGGACTAGTAGTAGGAGGAGCAGGAATGAAATCAAAGGGCTCACTCTCAAGATCCGAGAATGATTTCTTCTGAAGCACTTCTTGAGGATAATCTAGTTTGAACCGGTTTTCTCCCCGTGAAGGTGAAGCTTGCTTGGTAGCTTTAGACGGCTCTGGTATCCGGATATCAAGGCTGTCGGTGTCGTCGATATCTTCGTCGTCTGTTGTATCCAGAACACTACCGGCTCTGCGGTTGGGATTTTCTTCGTAATAATGTGACGAACTTGAGTCTTGCCTCATATGGTCCTTTTTCTGGGGACTAGTTGTCGACTTCTGCCGGCTAGGCGGCTGTGGTCGTGGTCCACTGGCCCGACGAGTGGGAGATTGATATATAAGCCGCTCATACGGACGCTCATTCTTGAAGTTGAAGCGGTTCTGGGGAGTAGTTGCCAGGCTTTGCTTTCTATACGGCAACCTGGTGGGCTTCACCATATCAGGAGCAGAGATAAAGCGAGTAGAGGTGACCTTTCCTCCCTCCGTCCGGTCTGGGTCCATCCGAGAAGGCGTCCTGGTAATCATTCTCGATGGATCCTCTCTCCGGCTGCTCGTCGCTGCTGCTCCTGCAGAGCGATAAGCTTGAGAAGAAATCCAGTCCAGCGTCTGCGTTTTCTCATCATCGGCATCCCCATCACCCGGGGAACCAATTGAACGTAACTGGTCCTCCTCGGCGTTGAAGTCATCAGAATGACCAAGATCGGAGTCTACACTCCCGTTCCAATTTCGAGAAAGGCGCTGGGCGTAAAAGCTAGGACCAAAAGCTTGGTTATCCTCGACATCGGCAACGCTGGTTACGGTGAGTGTGGAATCATCCACCGCTTCGACATCCGTATCAAACACGCTTTTCTGCCTCTCCTCCTGGTGATGGGCATCCTCCTGTGGAGGTTGAACATCATTCACTAGGTAAGGTCCAGTGAATCTTGACTGTGAGACACCAACCCCAGTTTTACCGTCTGGGACCTGCCTTGACGGACGTTGCTGGTTGGATACATCTCTCGTGCCTGGGTGAAGCTGATCGGCTTCCTTTGCGTGGATGTAATCGCCCACGGCCATGATTGCTCAGTTTTCGCCCAAGATGAGCTAGAGCACCCGGCACTGACGAGGTTAATGGAAATCCTCCGACATCATGACTCCCGTTGTTTATTTGTTTAGATGGGGCGAGCGGATGCACCGCCAATGTTTGGTTCCGCGATATGGAAAGTTTATCGAACGCGGTTGCTCCGCAGTCTGTTTCGTTCCGCGAAACCACGTGACTGCTTGATGGCGGATTCGGGCATCAATCGAGTACGACTATTACTGGCCATCAGGGTAGCTACTAAGCGTACCTTGAATTTTCTTCCCCAGCCAGATTCACCTTTATTACGCGGTAGATTGATATTGAATTATGCACTTTGCAGAAGAGCCAATGACTGCCCTCATAATCCAAACAAAACGGAATTATCATCAAATGACAGGCTTAGAACCAGCATCTACGTTGGAAGGCTCCGAGATAGTGCTCCCCGGATAGCTCATTGTAACTCCTTGAGATATCAGCTAAGAGAAGTATCGTTGATGTGAAGATCCTCAAAAGAGTGTGATACGCCCTTACTGCGCATCTCAGCTTTCTCGAGAAATTCCCTTGACCTTTCCCGTTCTGCGTCCCTTTTCTCCGTTGCAAGTCTCTTCTCCCGTCTCGCTATCATTGCTTCTGGTGATTCCTCCATGCCCATGGAATCCTGGTCGCTCAGTTCACTCGTGTCATCCTCGCCCTGCGGCACTGAGGATACAAAAAGATCTCCAACCCAAAGTGCCACCATGCCACGGAGTCTTAGCAACTCTGGGCTGTCGGAATACGGAGGGGACACGAGCAATTCATCCATTCGCGCTGCAATCTGCTGCGCTTCTTCCAACTCCTTGGATCTGATACCAGCAATGAGATCGGATTTTCTCTTGCCTTGCTCCTCAGCAAGATCAGACTCTGACATCGCATCATCTTCTTCAGATGGGCTTTCCGAAGCTTTGTCGTTGCGGTCTTGCAGTAGTCGCTCCCTCGCGATATTACTCTCTTCCTGGACGACGTAGATCCAAAGACCGAACATGGCGGGATAGAAATCCAAGGAACTCACGGATTCTGGGGATGCTTTGCGATATGGATACTGAAGGATGAGCCTCTCGTAGTATGCTTTGGCTTCTTCGAATCCTTTCCTGGTGAAAAAGGGCCTAGCGGCACTGATTGTCCTTTGGGCGTCCCCCTGGTTATCTCGCTGGCTAGAAGCGTGCGGGTTAATTCGAGAATCCCGACGAAGGAGGATCTCAGCGCCTAGACCCCATCTGCCCTCGTTTCGTACGTCAATAGGATGGCCAGCAATTTCCTCCCGCAGGATCAAACCCCATGCGCGTCCAGCTCGAACGTAATCGCCTTCAAGGAGGCAACGATGCAGGATGGCTGTGAGGACAGCAAGATGTCGAAGCCGTAGGTTACCTTGCTGCGCGGCAGATTGCGGGACATATAGAGGAGGGGAAAGGGTGGATAATTTCTTGGTGTAGTTCTTCCTCAGTTTCTTCCCAGATCCGTCTGCTGCTGCATGAGGGAAGTGTCCGCCAGGAAGCTCTTGATCAAACGGCTGGCCCGCAATGCGATACTGATGAGCTTCTTCCGGGGACAGCACGAGGGTTGAACTTCCACCCGTCGTTATTTCAGGGCCAGACACCACATCTTGGACTTCGTCTTCGCTCTCGTCCTCATCACCCCACTCATCCTCTCCCCTCCGTCGTTTCCTCGGCTCGTACTTGTTCGTCCGAATGCTCTGCGGCTGCTGCCATGGCGCGAGGGGCAGGGAGAAGAGCGATGCCGAGGGGGAAGAGGTCATGAAATCCGAGACGTGGTATAGCTTCCGGGACAATCGATATGGACCGTCATGGCAAGCTGTAGAGGTTCGGGGAAAAGAAAATACCGATGTAGACTCTCAGCGCCTGTAACGGTCAAGCATGCTGGTGCGACAGAAAATGTTTTATTAGCAACTAGGGAATGACCCAAGGAACAGCAGAGCTGCAATTGGATCCTGCTTACAGTTGCACCCTGGCGTTGGTCGTCTGTTGAGAACAGTCGTTTCTTGCTCTTTCGAGAAGGCTCTAAATAGTGATAAGAAACTGTGTGGCGGCCAACCCGAGCGGCACCAGACAGTCCCCGACCGATGGCCGTTTCCGACGACTCGGGTTTGACGGGCCCAAGCTTCGATCTGTTGCCACAAGAACCGTTGAGATTCTGGAAAGAACTGAGTCACTCCTCCAGAACACTAGAGATCGATTGACCTGTCGTGTGATTTGTAATCCTTGCCTTGGGAAAGTAGGGCAACCCAAATAACGAGACATCCAACCTGCAGCCGCCTCTGTTCTTAAGCAGCGCGTTTGCCTAGTACCTCAGAACCCCGTACTCCGTACACTCAAGGCTGTGACCTGTGACAGGCATCCCTAAATCTTTCAGGCGGAGCACTGTCCTCTGCGTCGTTTGCTGGGCTGCTCCGATCCTCCGCAGCGACCGACCATTGGGTTTCCCTGTCCGGAATCCGGATTGCTGACCAACACGGCAACAACTCAGCGCCCGCCATCGTCGTCACGCGCCCCCGCTGGCTCGAAGCTCGACTTGTCCACTCCCTCTTTCTCGCTCTCTTCTCTTCTCCTGCATTGCACCCTCTTCTAACAGTCAGCCCGGTCTGGCCGTCGGACAAGATTCCAGACTGCCTGTCAGCTAGGGTTGTCTGTCACTTCAAGCAAGGTTGTTGGGGTGGGCCCTGCGATCACTGCCTGTTTCACGTTCAGGGTCCCTGTCACTCCCATCCTACTACTGTAGGCTGAACCTCCCCTCGCCAACATCAACCATTCTTCGTCACCCAAGAGTGGCAACCTGCAACTACGGTTCCGAACAGGTGGTCTGATCTAACTTGACACCTAGTTGGATTCTTAGGTGATCACCCAGTTAAGGATCCTGGCCGTTGTTCGGACTTCAGCGACCTGCGTCCCCCACGGTACCTTTCACAGGCGTCCAGCAGATATCTGACCAGCCGACCGTCACGGACACTTCGTCTCACCCTGCTATCCCACCCTTACCTTCGATCTTCCTGATTATCCGACGCTTTACAGCTCTTCTCTGTGAGTTGCAGGAGATTGGTCACAGCGTTCCGGTCGAATGCTCGGTGGCGGTTAAGTACCTAAAGCACCGAGTTGCAGCCTTGTTCGATTTCTTCTCTTCCTTTACAAATTCTTCTACCTCTTGCCTCCCTTATTTCGGACGGCTTTTGAAAGACTTTTTGTCGGCAGCTTTGCTTCCCATGGCGAAGTAGACGGACTGTCTCGTTTGGACCTCATCTTTCCAGATATCTCCGTGCCTTCCTGATTCTCCACGACCAGTTACTATGGGACAAACCTCCTCCACACAGAGGGATCAGCGGCAAGACAGCGCCTCACGATTTTCAGTCCCCTCACGACGACATAGCAATGGCGAAGAAGTTATCATGAACAACGACGAAGAGATGTCGGGACACCCGGAGGATCGCAGCTCCGCTCCTCCGGGGCAAGAGTCAGACCGAAACATCTATAATCTACTTACAGCGCCATCAACTCCCTCAGAGTCATCCGGTTTTCAGCCATCCACTTTTGGACACCACGACATGGAAGCGTCAATACCTACAACCGACCACGAGCATGAAACTAGACCTTTGGTGGACATGAGACCGTCGGACACCCGGGCTGCTCCGATATCACGTATGGTGGTGAGGAGGCAGTCGACCATGTCGAGATTAGGTTCTCGGATCCTACCAAACTCCGTGATACGAGGCCTACTTAACAGCGAAGAGGAGACGCCTGCAGAAGGCCATGCTCATCGAAACGGACGTCTATCGAGAACCCTTCTTCGATCCGAAACTTACAGCAGCCGCTTCAATTCGTTGAGCTCGCTGGGATCGAGAGGGATTTCTCGACGACGCTCGATTCGTGGGCCATATCCACTTCCTCGGGGTGACGCGGCCCTAATTCCTGATGCTCCCCCGAACCCGACTTTCCTCGATTCCTCTGCTGAGCCGATTCCGGATTCCAATAGAGGATCCTGGCGACGGAGCGCACGACTGAACCGTGTTCGTGACTCCTTAGCCACTCCTATTTCACACATATTTGGACCGCCCTCTCCGCCACCATCCAGCCAAGTTACGAGCACTCCGCCTCAGCGGCCATCACGATCAACGTTCCACGAAGGATCGGATCAGCTTCTCCCCCCGCTGGCTCCTATGGATACCACTATGGATTTCGACGATCCCCCTCATGAGCTGGATTCTGTGGAACCTGCAGTGAGGAGTTCGCGACCACTGTCGCCGGTTCCTTCCACCAGGACTTCACAGGGACCAGGAGCGATGCGACGACTGCCAGGCATATTACGGGCCAGGCCATCCCGGATCTTGCGACGAGAAGAGCAAACACCTCTGTCTCGGGTTCTACAACTGGCTGCTGCTGCTATTGCCGCTCAGCTGTCTGGCACCGCTACCCCTGCGCTTCCCAACATCCAGTCTCTTGGGAATGATGGACTAGACGCATCGCTTGAGAACTTCATCCAGAGCCTGCAGCAAGCTACGTTCGCTCAGACCAATGCTTTGCCTTCAGGTGACTCTCAAAACCAGACCGCAGATGGCAATCCTGCCCCAGTTAACTTCCTCAGAGTTTTCCGCTTTGCTAACCCCGACACACCCTCCGGTGCGAGTGCGTCCGGACGAACAACGCCCGAGTCTGGGGAACAGGCAAATCGCTCAGACAGAATGGACGTCGATGAGCCCGCGGGACAAAGTTCTGAGGGTCAAGGTTCTGAAGGTCGGACTGTCACTTTGGTCGTCGTGGGAGTAAGGTCAGTTCCCTCCAGTGGAGTGGTCGGCAATCAACACCACACCGGTGGTCTTGGGCTGGACGCCCTGCTCGGTCTGCCACTCTTTCCACCAAGCAACACGTCACAGGATCAAGGCGGCGCTGGCAACCTTATTCGACGTGCTGATGGTGGATCCAGATTTTCGCCTCATCGCAATATGATGGAAAGCACCAACGCAAACTATGACAGCCAGCGCCACCAGAGATCGTCGTTCTCCGCTTCTCGGAGACCATCGGACGCCAGTTCCACTCCCAATGGGGTCTCATCTACTCCTGCGACGGCACTTTCAGAGAGTCCTCCGGGGCCTCATCCACCCCCGTCGACTCCCGCGGAGCCCATCTTGTCTGCGGGTTCCTCAGGTAACTCGACACCGAGCCGCAGACCATCATCAGCGTCTGCCATGTCTAGCAGCATCTCGCCTCAGCTTCACGAGGAGCCATCGAGACAGCCCACCGTCGAGCCAGGTGAAGGAGATGCTTCATCCACCGGTGCTCGCCAGCGACGTCGGAGTGATTCTGAATATGCTCGTCACCGCCACCTCGGGTCGGGTGCGGCAAGACGCAACGGGGTCGTCGAACCCGATAATCCAACACCGTCGACAAGTCGAACTTGGCTGATCTATGTCGTCGGAACGAACCTGTCCGAGAATCACCCAGCGTTCGCTGCTCCAAGCCTCTTTACAGATGTAAGTTACCGTCAAGACCAAGACCTTGCTACAATTTCGTACGCTAACCGTTTGTATAGAATCCCACTTACGAAGACATGGTTCTCCTCTCATCACTTCTTGGACCAGCCAAGCCCCCTGTCGCATCTCAGGCCGATGTTAACTCGGCGGGGGGGGTGTATACTCTCGTCGAGTATGCAGGGTCTTTGGTTGCAGAAGCTGTGGACGGCAACGAAACCATTGAAATTGGAGAGAATGAACGATGCTTGATATGTCTCAGCGACTACGAGGCAGCAGAGGAGGTTCGACAGCTCGCTAAGTGCAAGCATATTTATCACAAGGAATGCATTGATCAGGTACGTTTGAGCCTACAAGTGAAACACGTCTGGAGCATGGCGCTAACATGGTTTGCTTAGTGGTTAACCACGGGCCGAAACTCTTGCCCACTTTGTAGAGGCCAAGGAGTTGCCGAGTCCTCGAGCAATAATACCAACACCAACAGCACAGCCCCCGCACAGGAGGCTGCTGCTTAAGCTCTCACCTTATCCACCCAAAAAAACGAGAGCAAGGGTCCTTCACTTGGATCCGTTCTCAATCGCTGCCTTGAAGCAATTTGCTTGAGGTCACGTGTGTCAATTTGTGTTTTGTCGCTGTTTCTAATGACCTGGTGGCTTTCCTATTCCGAGCGTCCATACCTCCGGCATTACATTGCTCTTTCCTTCTTTCCCTGTCTTTTAGCATAATGATTACACCATACCCACCCGCATCTCATCACATCAACGGAGGTGTCCTTGAGCTAGAGGCCAACAAGGACAGCAGGATAGTCACCGTTTTGTCCTTCCTGTTTGTCTTCGGTGCCAGTTTACATCCATGGTTCAGATACCACCCATGTTCATGACATCCATTTTTTTGATTTGTTTGTACTTGAAGGCAGGCATCAGTGGCACGGTCTCAAAGAGTCATTTTTCTTTTTTCGATTCCTGACGGTCTCGGTTAACCACATGCTATGGGAAACACTTTCGGTGATACCCTGGGATGGTTCGTTCAGGTCGGTAGAGGTTAGGGGGATTTTCTTTCGATGGCGAGCCTACTTTGATCCTTCCTCGATGTATTTTCATGTTAGAGAATAACTTCCTTGCTAGAGTCACATTCCTAAATACACAACCGTATGATTGCCGAAAGCCGTAGACTGGCCTGGAGAAGTCCTCCAATATGGTGATGCCGGATGTGGAGAAATGCTTGGTGACGACTGGCGGAAGGGCCAAGCGGAGATATCGCCCCGCGGTTCCGCTCCCACTGGATCTTATGCAGTGAATGCTGACTCAGCGAACGAGGGGCATTGCTCCGGTCCGGTTCCCCGCCTAGGCTGGTCGAACAGTACGATAACTTTAGAGGTGTCTATTTTCTTGTAGCCATTGCTGAGAACTTTTGCTATCCTTGTGTCTTTGGTTATTCCAGTTTCATCCGGTGGAAAACTTTTATTTTTTGATCGCCTCAACACCAGTTGAGCACGATTGAAGAGTGACAACTGGTGAGGAGGGGAAAAAAAATTTCATCGACTGGACACAAGGCATGGACAGTCCAATTCGACTCACTGTCCTCATATCTGGCAATGGCACGAATCTGCAGGCCGTAATCGACAAAGTTAGCGCGGGCCAGCTACCGGTGAATATCGTCCGGGTGCTATCCAACCGCAAAGATGCCTTTGGGCTCGAACGTGCCAAGCGAGCAGGTATTCCGACGACATACCACAACCTGGTCAAATATAAGAAAAAACACCCGGCGACACCGGAGGGTGTCCAGGCCGCACGGGAGGAATATGACGCCGAACTGGCGCGACTAGTGCTCCAAGACTCACCCGACTTGGTCGCGTGTCTTGGGTTCATGCATGTCCTGTCGATGAAATTTCTGCAACCGTTAGAAGACGCCCATGTTAAGATTATCAATCTGCATCCTGCGTTGCCGGGAGCTTTTAACGGTGCTGTGAGTAGTTGGCCCAGTCTTTGCCTTACGTATACATATCGATTCGATGCCCCTGGATGATTTCTCAAGCGTCTTACTATCTTGCATTCTATTACTAAGACTTCACGCAGAATGCTATCGAACGTGCCCATACTGCTTGGAGGGAGGGAAAGATCGACAAGACGGGAGTAATGATCCACCACGTTATTTCGGAAGTTGACATGGGCAAACCCATACTGGTTAAAGAGATTCCTTTTGTCAAGGGAGTCGATGAAGACCTGAACGTGTTCGAACAAAAGGTCCATGAAGTCGAGTGGGGGACTGTAATTGAGGGAATCGAGATTGCTATACGAGAAATAAAGGAAGAAAAGGGCAAGCACTCCGGAGCAGCGTGAGATCGCGAGTATAGACCATGAAATGCTCTATCAGGCCTGGGGCCCCTACGAGCTTGTCCGGAACGGTGCAGAGCCACCCACATCATGAAATACAACTGTGCTCAATCGGTAGAGTTGGGACTCGTCCGTGAAGGCATCCGATTCACGCTTGGAACCATGGTGCTAGGTCCTCTTAAGGGGTGATAACTACTCTTCATCTGTGACACTTCGAAATATCAAATTGCACACGATAGCGAAAACTATGACATGTGTGTCGATTCGCCGGCAAGACGTTCAGTTACGGACTATCACGTGTGCAGGCTACAAATAGCACGTGAGATCTCCTTGTTGGGGCGCTCGAATGGCGAGACGCTTCACGATGACACACATCGAGTTCTTTTCGCTTAGGAAGAACCGCTTCTGGCTTGTACCCGACCGATAGAACATTCGCAAAAACTCGGGGTGATTCAAAGCAATTATCCAGTTGAAAATGGGCCTTTGAATTGAACAGCAAAGTAACCTATGTATTACTGTTGTTAGAGCTCTATATCCATGCTACCTAATACCCCTCTCTCTGTCGTGTTCGTATAATATCCCGAGTCATCAAACTCCATGTCTTCCTTTTGCCCTTGCCTTATCACCCTGTTAACTGATTGTGCCTCAAGGTGCCTGTCAAAAGTCCATGCCGCCGGGCATTGGACCAGTCGGCTCCATCCGAAACAGGTACCTGTGTGTACCCCACGAGGGAGCACTCACCATCCCGGTAAGCTTAGTGTATGAGGTACCTCCACCTGCTGCAGTCGAATCACATATCTCTCTCTCAGGTCATGTGCTTCTTTTTCGATATTACCTCGGTATAAAAAGATCATGTCTTGTAGAGGAGCACACTACCCAAGAGTTTCGAGTTTCTTGATCCTGGCCAATATTATAACAGGTACATATAATGTAATAGAAACTTACTACTGGTAGGGATGTCAACGATCAAGCTCGGAGGACACGGGTGCCCGGAGTCAGGAGCTGTCTGGCTAGAGTGTCATAGCCTCAGCAGCATTGACAATGTAACGTTTTCTTCTTATTGACCTATTATATACACCGTATACAATTATTACTCCGTATATTACACCGTATATGGACGACAACTGTAACGCATCAACTTATCAGAGCCTATCTACCGGTGCATTGACCTTCCCATCGGTATTATTGGGTTTATAGAAAAGTGGAGTCTTTCCCGAAAGGGTTACTCTGCAGGAGTGGGAAGATCCTCATTGAACTGGATGGATCCTTCCAAACACCCCCCCTAAATCCCTGATAGTAATATTAACTCCGTACCTAGCCAGAATGGAAGGAGTAAAAAAGGAACCCGTGACGAGTTCGGTGTTTGTTTCAACGTCATCTTTCATCTGTATCATATAGGCTCTCTATCGTAGACATCAAGTCATCAACAGTGCCTGCCCTGTGACGAGCTGACAGAAAAAAGAAATAAAGAAACAAAGAAAATCCCCTTCGTGATGGTTCGAGGACCCCGAGGATGGCCGACTGTACTCCGTACACCGTAAACAATGGCATGATTAAGGACAAGCATGAAGTTAATGTCGAGGGTCCATGATAATCAGTCGGGGAGGGGACAAGAAATGCCGCCTGCACGAGGCAAAGTCCCCGCCCGCCCCAGCAGAGAAAGAGCGCCCATTGAACAAAGACCGTTTCACTGCGTGTTTAAACTTTGGAAGGAGCCTGCTAAAGCCGTGGCCACGGGTGTTTCCTCTTGCCGGCCAGCCTATCATGCTGGTGATCGGGAAGCTGCTTCCTTAACTCCCCCGTGCCGCGTTATGTAAGCACCGCGGTTTGCAGCGTTTGCACGCCCTCCACCCGGATCTGCGGCGTTGATGGGCCGGCCTAATGCCGCAGCTAGCGGAATCTAGGATTGATTGATACTAGAACTCCAGGTCAATGCACCGCATGCCCATCGCCATTCGTCACCGGCAGCCCTGGCATACGTGGATGGAATATTAACGGACGTTAAGATCCGGGATCCTGGCCATGCTGCCATGCCGTCCACGGCAGCCCTGTCTCTGCTTTCTTTGCTTTTTTGGGGCTCTTCATTGGCAGTCCGGACATGGTGCTTACGGACTAGGGAATCCGACAGTCGGTCCAAGGGGCGTCTATCGATTTCCCAAAGTGGTGACTTTCTTCGGAGAGACCTGGAGATTCGCCCGATCCCCTTTTTTCCGATTGGGCCGCTGCCTCTTGCGGTTCTGTCTTTTTAAAGAAGGCAGATTGTGCCATCGGTCTGCCCCATAGACACCTAGCCATGGCATGGATTGACCGGCGACACAAGAGTGGATGCTGGAGCGGCAGGCTGGCACTGGGCAGGTGGGTAGGACGGGCAGCCTCCGTGTGTCACCCTACGGCGTCTGGCATTCTCTGTTCGTGGCGCTGGGTATCTACGGAGCAGAGAGATCATCATTCTTGTCACCTTCAGAGAGGCTCAGGCGGAGGTCTGCGTCTTGCCAATAGAAAAAAGAGTTGATCAGGAGCCATCCGCTTTCTGCATCCCCGGCATCCCATTAGCTGGCGACCGGACCGTTTGGATCGGAGGACGTTGGCCCAGGACACTGGAAGCCAACCACGGCCAGGGCAGGGGCAGGGCCTCAGCGCACGCTCACCCAGGCCGCGAGAGAAGTCCGTTACCGTAATCTGATCGAAGGGCTGAAGCAGCGTAGGTATCCAGCAGCACTTGGCTCCAGAGCTTCTTTCCCCGCCATCAGCGCTGCGCGCACTAAGGTTCCGGAGCTGGGGCGCCTGGGTTTCCGTTTTGGTGGTGTGCTCCGACCCTGACTAACTGCAAGCTGGATAGTTTGCAGAGAGGCCAGGAGAGACTCGAGCAGCGCAGCGATGCTGGCAGCAGATGGCTCCAACGTCCCTGCCGGCCCCACCGTTCCGTGCCCGCCAAGAGCCTGGCTTGGAGAGCGCTGAGATCGGGCTAGCACCCGGCCTCGCTCCTCCGCGCCGTGCTTCTGCACCAGCACGCTGAAGACAGCCAGATTCAAGCACCAAGCTCCCCGGCCACTACTGTTACACGGCGGCGCTGGACCTCGACCCTCGACCCTGCAGCGTGTCTGGCGTGGGCCTGCCTGCAGCGTCCGGCATAGCGTCCCCGCGGTCCAAAGCCTCTGCCGCCGCGGCCGCACGAGGCTCACGGCGTGATATCTGCCTAGCTCTGTGCCGGCATCCTCATCCATGCCCGTCGACGTCTCTCTGCAACGGTCCCTGCCCTACAGTCTCTGCCACTGCCTTTCTCTCTCTCCCACGCCCGCTCTCTGCTGCGCTCGCTCGCCTTGGGGACGCCTGCGCGACATCTCCAATCGAGCACTGGACGTGGTGGGGCTGGATGAAAGCGGGAAAAGAGCGTGCTAAGCCGCCCACAGCTCGAGCGCGATTAGCACCGCATTCCCATGCATTGCTCGAGGATAGCAGCAGATACCCAGTCAGTCGTTATTACACACGGTTTGCAACGCTACTCGATTCTGTCCATGACGCCTGCTGGCCGTTTGCTCGTCGCGTCTCGCAGATCTGACCTCCTGTACGAGCGCATGCCCAGACTGCCTCCAGGGATCTAGATCTCTTCGTCTATCTGCGAACGCTGCTGCCAGGTTCGACCACGCCCATGGAGCAACCGTTTTATCCGCCAGGCGCTCCCATGGGCGCCTATGCTGCGGATGCGCAGGCCATGCAGTTCCACAATCCGCCTTCATATCCTCCTTATCCCATCCTCCTGGGCCCTGTGCAATTGCCTGAGAGTGTCGCATATTGGCACAACACCCCCGTCCAGCAGCCGGGAATGGCACCACCCATGGGCGCGCCCGTCTCGTTGCAGAAACAACCCGCGCATGGTGCCACGGATCAGAAAAAGCATAAGCGGACGCGCAGTGGCTGCTTCACTTGCCGGGCTCGTCGAGTCAAGGTAACGTAACTTCCATTAACCCCAGATCCAGCAGGCCACCTTGCCTAATCGAAGTCACTGTAGTGCGATGAAGCTCGACCCATCTGCGAAAGTGAGCTCTGCATTGTTTCCCCCAACGTCTGCTCGGGCGGTCTTTCGCCACTGACGTACGTGCAGGATGTCGGAAAGGAAAACGAGACTGTGTCTACCCCTCGCCGTCCGCAAAGTCAGGCAGTCGTGCACGTTCCAAATCGAGAGATCATCGGAAATCCGTGAAGGACGCTGGTTCGTCTGATGAAGATGACGGCGGGGATGTCAGCAAATTGGAGGCGATCCCGGACGATGAGGAAAGCCCCGAACCACCCTCGACGACCTCCCCTACCGGGGACACCGGTAAAGCGAGACCGGGCCTCCCCAGAAGGCAGAGCTCCCAGTCACTAGACAAACGGAGGGCGAGGAAAGCATCAGACACATCGGCCTCCAGCAAGGCCAAGTCAGAATCACCCACTCTACCGTCGACTCCAAAGTCCGTTTCTCGAAGTCCCCGAGTCCGTTTTCAGTACAGCGATCTGTATCAGAAGCCCCAGCGAAATATCTCGACCCTAACGGAATTCACTCGGCTGCGCGAGGATGTGCGCTTCCTCCTCAACCATCACCAGGAAAGACTCAATTACCATCACTATTTCTTAAGGAAAGAGTCGGATGACTTTGTTCGTGGGAGTATCATTGATCTAGCACTGAAATACGAACCCCTTCTCTACGCCGTTGTCGGTTTCTCTGCATATCATCACACTATCCACCAGCCAAATGGAAAGCTGTATGACTTTCTGAAATATTACAATCGGTCACTGTCGCTGCTGCGGAAATCGCTGGCGTCTGGAGAACAGCACGGAGAAGCAATGCTGGTCACAATTCTCCAACTGTCGACGTTTGAGGTTTGTTTCCTCACTCTCTTCCTGGTTCTTGCGTAATATTGACTAAAGATCGTCAGGAATGCATAGGTGATTGGGTGAATCTGCTCGATCATCACCAAGCGGCAGATATTCTGATGCGCGAAATCCTAACACCGCAAAGCATTGTGACGAACGAGCTTCACAGGCATATCTTTATCTGGCACGCCCGTTTTGACGTCGTTGCTGGCCTCCTAGCAGGTAGCGAGGCGATCTTGAGCCGCGAATGGTACACTGCGATCGAAGAATATGATGCTGAGCAGGCGGCTCAAAACCCCTACCATGTTCAAAAGCAGCTGGCCTGGGTGCAATCTCGAATTCGAGTCTTTGCCCTGGATATGGCCTCACTATTTGCAAAACTTTCGCGTGAGATAATCAGCATGGACGAGTTTCTGACCCAGCATGAACGCCTTTGTCGGGCGTTGGAAGATATGCACCGTACTTTGCAGCCCTTCGACACTTGCGAACACGCGGTGAGGGCTAATATTTATATACAGCACGAGGGACCGGACGATGTTCTGGAACCTGATGTTCCTGGCTTGTTCTATAAAGGGCCCTTATGGAGTGTGAACTTTACTTGGGTTGATGTCCTGGCCACTGAACTGATGTTCAAATATCAATCCCACCTTGTAATACAGCAGCCCGACGGTGCGGAGCTGCAGAGGCTAGCATTGGAGATATGTCGGATCGTCGAGACCATCATGCGATGGCCAGAGAAGGAGGTTGGGAAGGTGATTGCGTTCCACAATTGCCTTCCGATTACGGGCATGTTTCTACCTCGAGACGAGAAATACATCATGTGGAGTCGACAGATGCTGGCTCTTTTGGAACAGAACGGGTGAGTCCTGCAAGTAGCGAACATCTGTTGCTGTCAGATCGAATCGCATACTGATGCGAATCTTGTGTTTTTAGGTATATATACCCTCCCAAACTGCGGGCAGGGGTAGCAGAAATATGGCAGATACCCGAGGTGAATCATTGGTGGCTACCAGATGAAGACACTTATCCGGACATTGTGAAGGAAATCCGTGCCTTGACCGAGGAGCGGACGACGAATCCTCGCGACAACATCCGTGAAGACATCCGCGACATGAAGTCACTGTTTGGGAAGCTGAATCTCGACGACGGCGGTAGCCAGAACAGTTCCCCCAGCGTCGACAGTAGTGGTCTTGTGACCGAAGCCTCTCCCGACCAGCTGTCCAATTGCGTCCAAGCCTGGCAACAACAGAACCTGCAACTAGGCGATAAAGACCCTCCTCCTCCAACGTCAGAGGGACCGAGATAGATCGAGAACCTCCATTGAAAATGTCCCCGAAGGAGGAGGGAGGAGTCTTGGAAACGACATTTTCTTTTGTTCTTTTTTCCCCCTTTTAGTGCCGTGGCATATCACCCCCTGATCTGACGGTGTTTCAAGGAAATGTTTTTTTTTCTGTTCTTCAAGGAGGCGGTTTGATTTTTGATATCCAATATATATCCATCCTCCACACTTGTTTTTGTCTACCAGTCATGTACATGACATGAAAATGTTATGACGTTTTTTTTTCCAACCTCTGTTCCACGTGGGCAAACTCCACAACCATGGTTCTTTGGTTTTTGGTTTTTGGTTTTTTTGTGTATATGTCCTCTCTGCTTCTGTCTTCTGTCACTTAACTACCCTACCTACTTCTGGGTGTTTTCATGTATTAACGTAATCTATAACCTAGTCGGACAAATGACCTAGTCGGACACTTCTCACCACGCTTACGCGCCTCCACTCCCATCAACAAAAATGCCTACCTCAAGACTCCCACAAGCTTCCAATCAGGAAGGAAAGATTCTTTTGGCTCTTCAAGCATATAAGAAGGGCCAAGTCTCAAGTCTGCGAAAAGCTTCTGTGTTATATGATGTTCCCCATTCCACATTACACGATCGATTGAAAGGCCGTACGACGCGAGAGCATGCGCAGGAAAGGAATCGAAAACTGTCTGTTACTGAAGAAATAACTCTTACCCAGTGGATACTATCCATGGATGAGCGAGGAAAGCCCCCCCGAGTTGCAACCGTACGAGAAATGGCAAATGTCCTTCTT